CTCTTCAAATTATATCAATTCCTAGTATAACCGATACTAGGAATTTTTTTAATAAAAAATAGTATAGCCGCCCGGCAAATTTTTCAAAAAAATAGTATAGTCAGGCGGCTATACTCGTTTTGTAAATTTAAAAAAATATATTATAGCCGAGCGGATATACTTGTTTCACTGGACGCTGGACGGGGCTTTTTTTATAAAAGAAATAGTATAGCCGGGGGCTATACTCTTAGAAATTGTATAGCCGCTCGGCTCTACCATTTTTTGACACGTGGGTAACTCGCGCTATGAGGCTGCTCTTTTTTTAAATAGTATAGCCGCACGGCTATACTCCATTTTTGTATGGCCGTCGGCTTTACTAGGTTTTTTTTTTGGTTTTTCATGAGTAAAGCTATTGTTTCTTTTTATTAATTAAATAATCTCTTAGCCTTATTTAATTACTTTAATTAATAATTATTTCTTTAGTGAATAATTAGTAGCAATATAAGGGGAAATTACGGAAGAAAATGACAGAAAACCCGACAAACCTTGCAAGATTTATATGGAAACAGGAAAGTCAGAAGGATCACCCCGCCTCGGTGGATCATATGCATTCCTTCAGCAAAACAATAAACATGCCGTCTAGTTTACAGTCTCTGTTTAAATATATACATTTCGAATCACTACACTACCTAACAAAAAAATACACTGCTTGCTACTCATAGTGCAAAGACCACAACTATTTTGATTGGGAATAAAAAAAGATGTTATGAGTATTCAGATACCAATATTTTTAAACTAAGAAAAAAATTAGCAACCTTTTGGAGATGCAGGTTTATCAAGATCAAATGCCGTTCATCTCACAATCTCTACATACCCAAAATTCAAGATGGGGGTTTTGGCCGTGAGATTGATCTTAATAAACTCACTTTTTAAAAGAGAGGCAGAACCTAAATATAACATTTTTGGTTTCTTGAAAATTTAAATATGGTGTAGGACGAGGGTCCAAGTGATGGGTAATGGCGGTTCACTTGGTTTGTCTAATGTTCTTCAAAGTTCATGTGGCTGATGTTTGCTTTTAAAGTTCAGCCTGAAACTTGGTTCATAAATGTGTGTCCTGTCAAAATAGTCCTTAAACTAGAGAGGAATCAAACTATCTTCCTCGAATTACAAAATTGGGACCCAGGAAGAAATTGAAAACGAAAATTCTATTCGATCATTGACATGATTGTGGCTAGAGGAAGCAGCTAAGAGGCCCTTTTTGGAGGAGACATGTTACTGATGAGAGAAGTAGTTGTGCTGACGGTAAATATTTGTACCAGGAACGCTGTGAAATTTGAAACATAAATATTACTCTTTACCCAACTTTGGTTGTAGTAGCATCACATCAAGAAAGCACAGATACTCACCAATTGCAGTGCGGGTGGCCTCGAGAAGTTCGAACTTCTTTGTTTCCCAGTTACTTGGATTTTGGAAAACCTACTCAGTAATTTCATACAAGACAACAATCAGAAAATTCCGACAAAAACAAGAAGGGGCAAATGATTCAAATTTCTAAGTGATAATCAACAGTTGTAATAAAGAACTATCTTACCTCTAATGTTAAATTTCCTATAGCAACACAAGCAATGGAGAGAAGTATTCCAATAGATGATGCAACAATGTAAACTTTCAACAAACTCACTCGGCTGCGCCTTCGACCTTTGGCAAAATAAAAAGTTGTATAACTACAGATGCAAAAACTGAAGTGAATTGAAAGAAAAATGAAGATTAGTAACAGCTTACCTAACTCCCCAATGATCAACGAAATAGAACCAATAGCAACAGATGAAATAGCAATCACATTGGGACCTTCCCCATTTGATGTAAATAGAAATGTATGTAGGACTCCTATCAATTGAATGACTATACCGTTTATATATGTATTGTTAGCTCAAGTGCAAAAAAAAAATTCACAACTTGCTCCATACTCAACTCATTTTCTAGAGTACCAACTTGCTACAAAACTTCAAATTTCAATAACTAATATAACCCAATTCAAATATTCAAATATAATTATTACCTAATTAGAGTATTACAATTTACACATGAGTATTAAAATTAAAGATGGCCAATGATAGGAGAACAATATAAAAATGAGTCACAGATCATGATCCTAAACAGCTTGAATAAGTGGATGCATTGGGTATGCTCGGCCTCGGAAATCAAGATTGTGGGGATAATAATTCCTCATATATTATAGTCTCACGGTTATACTATTTAAATATATTATTTGAAGGCGTATAGCTGCGCGATTAATGTAATAGGTGGGCAGATTTCTGTTGTTCAAGGTCTTTTGGAAGAGCTGCCTGGAGAGTTTTTAAGTTACATGCGTTCCATGGACATGAAGCCACTCACCTTCCATGCAGCAAGCCAACCATCTACATCATAGATTCGTTCTTCTTCGCAGATGCAGTAGTTCAATCTCAAGAATCTGTTCATTATCAAACATGTTACCAAGGACTAATTTCAAAGTGCTTTTTGTTTTGTTTTCGTTTTTAATTTCATATATAGTGCTTTATCAGTGCCTCACCGAAAGGTTTGGACTCTGATTCCAACTGCTTTTCTGCTTCCTGAAAGTGATGTGAAACCTCAAATTCCTTGTCATTAGATTGGTAACAGACCATATTCACTGATAGTTCAGGAAACAGTTAAGTGAAAACCTTACCTTCTTCATCATTGTCTCTTTCTTCCATGTTTCTATGCCCTTCATTAAAGCTTTTGCTGCTGTAACTGCCAGAACTCAGAAGAAAATCTTATAAGATTATTCAGAGTATTCAAAGTAAATGAGGAATTTGTGTTCAAAATGTTATTACCTCAGAAGAGAATGATAAGTAGAACTGTGACCATCCAGTTGGCGAACATGACGTTGAAGGCAACCCCTATGCTGATGCCCAGCATGAGCATTGGCTGAAAGAGCAATGCCAGATCATAATCTCTAAAGGGGCATGTCCAGTGTTGGGTGCCTAAGTCTCAAATTGAAGTATACTGTTGAACCTGCAGCACCCATTATCATACCTGCATGACCAATAGGATGGCATACAGTACTTCAGTTCTGTCTAAATTGAATACATTAAGAATAAATTAACAAGTTAAAAGAAAAGATTAAAAGGAAAAGTAGTGATTACTGACACTTAGAAATGGCAGTGGAAGACTTGGGATCAAACCAATGATCAAGGCAAGCATTGCCTCCACCCCCAACACCTCCCACACTACCCAATGCTGCACCAGAGAATCCAACTATTGAGCCAATTAACTACAATTTTCCAACCAAACTTGATCTCCTGAACAACCAAAATACATATGTCAAAGTCAAAATACCACAACAGTAAACATGAAAGGAAGAATCATAAAATCTTATTGGAAAAAGTCAAAATACCCTAAAATTAGACGTAAAAGTTATATCCCCTTTATGTTCTCGCTCTCTCTCTCTCTCTCTCTCTCTCTCTCTCTCTCTCTCTCTATGCGTGTGTGTTCTTGCTGGAGATGCATTAACTACGGTGTTTAAGGGAGATCAAACTCACTGGTGGAGCAAGTTTGAGTATATGTCTGCACAAAGTTCAGATACAGTTAAAATCATGGTGCTAGTAAACCAAAAGGTTGTAGGAATAATGTAAGCATCATCTCTTTCTTTTCCAATTCTCGGAAATCTTCTTTAAAAGTTAAATCCTTGAACACACTGTCACGTATATCTGAATAAATGGCCTAGGCAGGCGCTAGGCGGGCTAGGCGGGGGCTAGGCGGTCTAGGCGGGGGCTAGGCGGTCTAGGCGGGGGCTAGGCGGTCTAGGCGGGCGCTAGGCGGGGCTAGGCGGTCTAGGCGGTCTAGGCGGGCGCTAGGCAGGCGCTAGGCGGTCTAGGCAGAAAGAAGAAAGAAAAGGTCATTTCGGAACTCCAAGGTCTTGGACGAGATGACAATGGTGATATGAGGCGAGAGAGAGAGACGACGATGAGATTGAAGAAGACGAGAGGTTGCGTGTTATGTTTAGGGTTTAGAAAAGGGCCTGGACAAGAGAGAAGGGCCTGGGCTTCATAAAATACAACATTAAATGAATTTTGCATTATAAAATCACTAAAGTAACCACTAATAAGTAACAAATAACAATTAAATATCCAATACACAAAATTTCAGGTATATCACGAATTCTGAGTATTGATACTACGGAGAATTCAAGAGACACTCTTCAAGAATATATCATAAACCAAGAAACATCGGAGCTATTCATCTATAATTTTGATAGCATATTGATCGCAATGAACAATATCAACATCACAAACAAACTCGGGGAAGGAGGATTTGGTCCAGTTTACGACGTTATTGTTTATTTGTTTTTCTCTTTCTAAAGGAAAATATAGTATCACACAGCTACAATAACAGATAAGGACATGAATGAAGTGATTAATTTGTAGGTACCCTAAAAGAAGGGAAGGAAATAGCAGTAAAAGGAATATCTAGTAGATCAGGGCAAGGCATAGAAGAGTTGGGGATTGCTAGAGGGCTTCTTTATCTCCACCATGAGTCTTATTTGAAAGTAATTCATAGAGATTTGAAGGTCAGTAATATTCTCTTGGATGACCAAATGAACCCAAAAATTTCAGATTTTGGATTGGCACGTATCATTCAAGGGACACATAATATAACAATTACTCATAAGGTTGTGGGAACGCTGTAAGCGTCATTCCTTTTCCTATTCTTGGAAGAACATCAAAACTTAAATATCAATGTTCAGCATATTGCCATTCATATCAATATATTAGTGAATTTATATGGAAGCAGCAGAGAATCAGAGATGACATGTAGGAAATCTGGCTGTACCATTCATTTTATTTGGAACCCTGCAATCTTAACTGAAATATTAGTTGCATGTCATTAAGATATAATTTCGGTGGCACTTTTCTTAAGACCAGAAACAAAAGAAATACTGTCAGTTAATAGTAATACGAATGAAATTCCTTTGCAGTGGCTATATGTCTCCGGAGTATGCCATGGGCAGGATATTTTCTGAAAAATCTGATGTCTATAGCTTCGGGGTCTTGATATTGGAGATTATTAGCAGCAGGAAGAATACCAGCTTCTATTACTATGAACAACTTCTAGGTTTCCTACCTTATGTAAGTTCACACTCTAAATCTTATAAATTGTTAAACAATCTATATGAAGCTAAATACATATATATGAAATTCTGTTAGGCATGGCACTCATGGAATGAAGGCAGGGGATTGGAGTTGGTTGATGAAATATTGGCAGATTCATATTCCTCATCAGAAGTGATGAGATGTTACGCATTGGCTTCTTTGTGTACAAGACAATATTGCAGAGAGGCAAACCATGCTAGTAGATCGAGGTGTAACAACACTTCAATTTACAACCCTGCAATTTTAATTGATTCCAATTCCCTTATGTTTGTGTTCATAATTAACTAAAAATTAGTTGCATTGCATGGAGTTTAGATTTAACTTTTCTAGTATAATTTTTCTCAAGACTATAAACAAAGAAGCAATTTCGTCAATTCTCAATTGATTGTATAGTGGCTACATGTCTCTGGAGTATGCCATGGGCGGGATGTTTTTTGAAAAATCTAATGGCTACAGCTTCGGGTTCTTAGAATTGGAGATTATTAGTGGCAAAGAGAATACCATCTTCTATTGCAGTGACCAACATATAGGCTTCCTAGCTTATGTAAGCTCACACTCTAAATCTTAATGCAAAATCGTATCTTTCATACAGCTTAAGCAACCTATATGAAGCTAAATGCAGCCGAGTTTAACAATTCTAGCCAACATACATGAAATTTTGTCAGGCATGGCACTCATGGAATGAAGGCAGGGGTTTGGAGTTGGTTGATGAAGTATTGGCAGATTCATATTCACCTTCAGAATCTCATGGATTTCTGTTTTTGAAACCCAAAGGCATTGCATATGCATGGGTCAAGTTTTAGATTGGCAAGCACATGGAATTGCATACAATTATATTGGATTTTTGCCTCAGTTTAGGTGCACATTGATGTGCCCATTTTTTTCACAAACATGATCCAATTGGTATTTGGTATAACAAACACAAGCAACATTTACAAGTTTTGGCATGCAGGTGGTATACCAAATTCACAAAGTGTAAGTGGGGATATAGGGAACCAAGGTCCCAAAAAGGAGTTCTCCAAAAGATGCAATTCCCGACACAAAACTCTCGTCTAGGGACTTGGGGGATTTCTATTTGTGAGGTAAAATACCTCAGGTCCAGGTGGTCGGGTTGAGCTCGATATCAATGGACAAGCAGGGCTTGAGCCTTGGGCTGGATGTCTCCGGAGTATGAGTGCACGATAACTTTTTTAGAGTTCCAACTATTCACTTTTCTTTTTTAATAAAAAATTTCAGAGAAATATTTGTCACAACGAGTCTAGCATAAGGAACAGGGCAGGAGATTGTATAAATTTCAGTTTGTGTTTAGGTTTAAAGTATTAATACAACAACATGTTGAGGCAATATGGAGAATTGGATAAAATTTCAAACCACACCATTCATAATATGATTCATATTCCTCCTCAAATAAAAATCTAATCTATATCATAAAACATATAATTTTTTCTTTTATTAAAAAAGACATAAACTACATATGACTGTATATATAGCCACAGAGGCGGATCTATTAAGGCGCAAGGAGGTGCAGTTGCACCTCCCTTCGCCAGAAAAACCATTGTAGGTGCTTCAAATTGCCCATTTGCTCAACTTGTGTACAGATTACCTTATTTTCATTTTCAACATTTAAGTAAATGGAGTAATATAAATAAAAGTAAAAAGACAAAGACATTTACTTAAGTTTACAATGTAAATAAGGAAGTACCCCCCATTTGAATTCAAATAAAAATACTAGAAAATCAAATTCCGACCAAATCAAAATATGAAACTTCGGTTTTAGTGCAAAATACGATTTAGGCTAAAAATGATGGCTCATTAAGTCAATATATACTTCATACTAAAATCCCATAAAATCAAGTTTTCTTATTTGATGTATAAGGAATAAAAGCCGCCAAAAATTATCTTGAGAAAATGATTATTCCGAAAAACCATTTTCATACTTAGTTAATATTGCACCTCTGCTAAAAAATTTCTGGATCCGCCAGTGTATAGCCAGTCAATCAATGGGTAAATGCGTAGGCAAGAACCTAAGGTATATAAACCCTAATATCCCCTCAACAAGATCCTTGATTAACTGACCTAGGAAAGTATCCTAAACGTGAAGGGAATGGTAAAAGTGAAAGTTTATCACTTTCATTCGACTCGTTGTTTACAGTGGCCTCATAATTGTCTTTATGTTTTTTAGAATGAAGGACATAAGGAGAATTGTTGATGATCCTGCAACAACATAAATCATGTGTAAAGTGTTTTGTAAATTGTTCAATTATAATTAAATCTCTTAAAAAAAAAAAAAAACAAACAGTATAGCCACTCGGCTATATTATTTCTTTTTCAAAAAATTAAAAAACGGAGACTATAATATTTCTTTAAATTTTTTTTTAAAAAACGGAGTATCGCCGTGCGGCTATACGATTTCTTTAAAAAAAAAAATTAGAAACCCGCAGTATAGTCGCCCGGCTACACTATTTCTTTAAAAAAATTAAAAAACTAATTATAGCCGCCTTACTATACTATTTCTTTTAAAAAAATTTGAAAAAACCAAGTATAGCCACGGTGCTATACTATTTCATTTTATAAAAAATAGGAAAACAGAGTATAGCCGCGCGGCTATACAATTTATTTCAAATAAATTTGAAAAACCGAGTATGACCGCGCGGCTATACTATTTCTTTTAAAATAAATATTTAGAAAAACCGATTCTAAAGCTTAATTTCACACCAAGTGCACCCATAATCAGCTTTATAATTTCATTTCATTGTTCTTAGGGCATTCATTTGAGTTATCATGCTTTTGTTGTGATGTGTGACCAAAGCAAACCTAACAGATCGAACTTTGTTGGCGAGTCCTTACTTAGTTAGGATTTTGGTTCCTTACTATGTTAGGATTTTAGTTACTTACCATTTATCTAGTCATATTATAATTGAGATTTATTTCCTATTATAATTTATATTTATTTTCTATTGTAATTTAGATATATTTCCTATTTTATTTAGGGTTAACACATCTTTGTACTTGTATAAATACCTCCATATTGGAGAAGAATAATAATATGAGAATATATGAAAATTTTCCCCTACTTTCTTAGGGCATTCATTTGAGTTATCATGCTTTTGTTGTGATGTGTGACCAAAACAAACCTAACAGATCGAACTTGACTACATTGCTAGTGATGTCTGCATAAAGATTCAGATAGATTCATTCAGTAACAAAATTCAAAGCAATAGTGCATAAAAATTCAGATAGATTCATTCAGTAACAAAATTCAAAGCAATAGTGCGTCCCCTGCAAATGCAGAGGAATTAGAAAGATCGAACTCTACATTTCTAGTGATGATCTTGTCTTTTGAAAAGCTTCTTTAGTTATACAGAACTACACAGTAAAATAACTTACCTTAACAATGTGAACAATAAGAAAAGCCACCGAGACATACACAAGCATCGATAACTCCTTCCAGTAAATGTTGTGTGATATAGGTACTTGGACAGAGTTGTTCACAAATTCAATAAGACAGAATCTGAAACAACTTCAAAATTGCAGATAACCAAGAACTTGGAACTGACCTGCTCGTCTTGCAATGAAACCATCTGCAACAAAGGAGATGTGCGCTTTAGAGTTTTCTTTTAGTTCATATTAGTGCATAGTCTCTAAACTTGGTCTATATATACACTCACCGCCACGTTTGGACTCCAATTCCAACTACTTTTCTGCTTCCTGAAAATCATGCAAAACCTCAAATTCCTTGTTAGTACGTTGGTAACAGACCCTGCTCATTGATAGCCCAGGGGATCCGGATAGTTGTGTGAAAATCTTACCTTCATCACTGTCTCTTTCTCCCATGTTTATATGCCTTTCATTAAAGCCTTTGTTGCTGTTGTATCAGCCAGAACTCAAAAGAATATCTAAAAGATTATTAGGAGTGTATATTCTGTAGACACTACAGAGAATTTTTTTTAGTTGGATAATGGTTGGTTATTCTATAAAATTTTCCTACATTTTTCCAAATAATTCAAGAAATAGTGACTTTCAGAAGGAACAAAGAAAGTTAATAAACAATCCAGTAGAAGCTTTGAAAGTATAAAAAAATAGTTCAAATGTTTGGTGTTGAAAGCATTTTTATGCCAAGTTTTGAAGTTTCTAGAGAACGATTAAGCGCAATAAATATAAAGATTTGATGTGCTTTTCTTTTAGTTGTGTACATATTCCATTTTATCAGTTCAGTTCTCATTCTCAAAGTAAAAAATTAGTTGGGAAATTGTGGTCAAAATGTTATTACCTAAGAAGAGAATAATAAGTAAAACTGTAACCATCCAGTCGGCGAACATGACGTTGAAGGCAACTCCTATGCTGATGCCCAGCACGAGCATTGGCTGAAAGAGAAATGCCAGATCATAATCTATAAGGGGCATGTCCAGTGTTGGGTGCCTAAGCCTCAAATTGAAGTATACAGTTGAAACTGAAGCACCCATTATCATACCCTGCATGGCATGTAGTTCTTTAATTCTGTCTAAACTGAATACATTAAGATTAAGTTAACAAGTTAAAAGAAAAGATTAATAAGAAAGGTGATTACTGGAAGACTTGGGATCAAAACCAATGATAAAGGAATTTAGCCGCGCGGCTATACTATTTCTTTTAAAAAAAATAAAAAACCGAGTTTAACCGCGCGGCTATACCTTTTATATATGTACTGTTAGCTCAAGTAGTGCAAAAAACAAATTCACAACTTGCTCCATACTTAACTCATTTTCTAGAGTACCAAACCATCTTAAAGCTCAACTTGCTACAAAACTTCAAATTTCAATAACTAATATAACCCAATTCAAATATTCATATATAATTATTACCTAATTAAAGTATTACAATTTACACATGAGTATTACAATTAAAGATGGCCAATGACAGGAGAACAATATAAAAATGAGTAACAGATCATGATCCTAAACAACTTGCATAAGTGGATGCATTGGGTATGCTCGGCCTCAGAAATCAAGATTGTGGGGATAATAATTCCTCATATATTATAGTCTCACGGTTATACTATTTAAATATATTATTTGAAGGCGTATAGCTGCACGATTAATGTAACAGGTGGGCAGATTTCTGTTGTTCAAGGTCTTTTGGAAGAGCTGCCTGGAGAGTTTTTAAGTTACGTACGTTCCATGGACATGAAGCCACTCACCTTCCATGCATCAAGCCAACCATCTACATCATAGGTTCGTTCTTCTTCGCAGATGCAGTAGTTCAATCTCAAGAATCTGTTCATTATCAAACATGTTACTGAGGATTAATTTCAAAGAGCTTTTTGTTTTGTTTTCGTTTTTAATTTCATAGTGCTTTATCAGTGCACTCACCGCCAGGTTTGGACTCTGATTCCAACTGCTTTTCTGCTTTCTGAAAGTCATGTGAAACCTCAAATTCCTTGTCATTAGATTGGTAACAGACCATATTCATTGATAGTTCAGGAAATAGTTAAGTGAAAACCTTACCTTCTTCATCATTGTCTCTTTCTTCCATGTTTCTATGCCCTTTATTAAAGCTTTTGCTGCTGTACCTTCCAGAACTCAGAAGAATATCTTATAAGATTATTCGGAGTATTCAAAGTAAATGAGGAATTTGTGTTCAAAATGTTATTACCTAAGAAGAGAATGATATAAGTAGAACTGTGACGATCCAGTTGGCGAACATGACTTTGAAGGAAACTCCTATGTTGATGCCTAGCATGAGCATTGGCTGAAAGAGCAATGCCAGATCATAATCTATAAAGGGGCATGTCCAGTGTTGGGTGCCTAAGGCTCAAATTGAAGTATACTGTTGAACCTGCAGCACCCATTATCATACCTGCATGACCAATAGGATGGCATACAGTTCTTCAGTTCTGTCTAAATTGAATACATTAAGATTAAATTAACAAGTTAAAAGGAAAAGTAGTGATTACTGACACTTAGAAATGGCAGTGGAAGACTTGGGATCAAAACCAATGATCAAGGCAAGCATTGCCTCCACCCCCAACACCTCCCACACTACCCAATGCTGCACCAGAGAATCCAACTATTGAGCCAATTAACTACAATTTTCCAACCAAAATTGATCTCCCGAACAACCAAAATACATATGTCAAAGTCAAAATACCATAACAGTAAACATGAAAGGAAGAATCATAAAGTCTTATTGGAACAAGTCAAAATACCCTAAAATTAGACGTAAAAGTTATATCCCCTTTATGTTCTCGCTCTCTCTCTCTCTCTCTCTCTCTCTCTCTCTCTCTCTCTCTCTATGCGTGTGTGTGTTCTTGCTGGAGATGCATTAACTACGGTGTTTAAGGGAGATCAAACTCACTGGTGGAGCAAGTTTGAGTATATGTCTGCACAAAGTCAGATACAGTTAAAATCATGGTTCTAGTAAACCAAAAGGTTGTAGGAACAATGTAAGCATCATCCCTTTCTTTTCCAATTCTCGGAAATCTTCTTTAAAAGTTAAACCCTTGAACACACTGTCACGTATATCTGAATAAATGGCCTAGGCGGGCGCTAGGCGGGCTAGGCGGGGGCTAGGCGGTCTAGGCGGGCTAGGCGGGCTAGGCGGGCTAGGCGGTCTAGGCAGGCGCTAGGCGGTCTAGGCAGAAGCTGGCGCCTAGAAGAAAGAAAAGGTCATTTCGGAACTCCGAGGTCTGGGACGAGATGACAATGGTGATATGAGGCGAGATAGAGAGACGACGATGAGATTGAAGAAGACGAGAGGTTGCGTGTTATGTTTAGGGTTTAGAAAAGGGCCTGGACAAGAGAGAAGGGCCTGGGCTTCATAAAATACAACATTAAATGAATTTTGCATTATAAAATCACTAAAGTAACCACTAATAAGTAACAAATAACTATTAAATATCCAATACACAAAATTGCTTACACAACTCGAATCAGCAGTATTTTTCCTTTTCTGTCTCATACTTCTTGTAATAAAAATTCATTGTTTCAGGTGAAGGAAAACGAATAAAGTTAATGCTCAGCCTCATAGCTATTTGTTTTATCAGTATCTCGGTTGCCATAGTGTTCAGCTTGCACAGACTGCAATCTAACCAAAAAGGTAAGAGAATGAAGTGATCAAGGGATAAAAGAGTTCAAGAATGAGATGCTGTCGATTTCCAAACTCCAACATAAAAATCTTGTGAGGATCATGGCATGCTCCGTCCAGGATGATGAGAATTTACTAATTTACGAGTTCATGCCAAACGGACCAAACCATCTTAAAGCTCAACTTGCTACAAAACTTCAAATTTCAATAACTAATATAACCCAATTCAAATATTCATATATAATTATTACCTAATTAGAGTATTACAATTTACACATGAGTATTACAAATTAAAGATGGCCAATGACAGGAGAACAATATAAAAATGAGTCACAGATCATGATCCTAAACAGCTTGAATAAGTGGATGCATTGGGTATGCTCGGCCTCAGAAATCAAGATTGTGGGGATAATAATTCCTCATATATTATAGTCTCACGGTTATACTATTTAAATATATTATTTGAAGGCGTATAGCTGCGCGATTAATGTAACAGGTGGGCAGATTTCTGTTGTTCAAGGTCTTTTGGAAGAGCTGCCTGGAGAGTTTTTAAGTTACATGCGTTCCATGGACATGAAGCCACTCACCTTCCATGCAGCAAGCCAACCATCTACATCATAGGTTCGTTCTTCTTCGCAGATGCAGTAGTTCAATCTCAAGAATCTGTTCATTATCAAACATGTTACTAGGACTAATTTCAAAGTGCTTTTTGTTTTGTTTTCGTTTTTAATTTCATATAGTGCTTTATCAGTGCCTCACCGAAAGGTTTGGACTCTGATTCCAACTGCTTTTCTGCTTCTGAAAGTGATGTGAAACCTCAAATTCCTTGTCATTAGATTGGTAACAGACCATATTCATTGATAGTTCAGGAAACAGTTAAGTGAAAACCTTACCTTCTTCATCATTGTCTCTTTCTTCCATGTTTCTATGCCCTTCATTAAAGCTTTTGCTGCTGTAACTGCCAGAACTCAGAAGAAAATCTTATAAGATTATTCAGAGTATTCAAAGTAAATGAGGAATTTGTGTTCAAAATGTTATTACCTAAGAAGAGAATGATAAGTAGAACTGTGACCATCCAGTTGGCGAACATGACGTTGAAGGCAAACTCCTATGCTGATGCCCAGCATGAGCATTGGCTGAAAGAGCAATGCCAGATCATAATCTATAAAGGGGCATGTCCAGTGTTGGGTGCCTAAGGCTCAAATTGAAGTATACTGTTGAACCTGCAGCACCCATTATCATACCTGCATGACCAATAGGATGGCATACAGTTCTTCAGTTCTGTCTAAATTGAATACATTAAGATTAAATTAACAAGTTAAAAGGAAAAGTAGTGATTACTGACACTTAGAAATGGCAGTGGAAGACTTGGGATCAAAACCAATGATCAAGGCAAGCATTGCCTCCACCCCCAACACCTCCCACACTACCCAATGCTGCACCAGAGAATCCAACTATTGAGCCAATTAACTACAATTTTCCAACCAAACTTGATCTCCCGAACAACCAAAATACATATGTCAAAGTCAAAATACCATAACAGTAAACATGAAAGGAAGAATCATAAAGTCTTATTGGAACAAGTCAAAATACCCTAAAATTAGACGTAAAAGTTATATCCCCTTTATGTTCTCGCTCTCTCTCTCTCTCTCTCCTCTCTCTCTCTCTCTCTCTCTCTATGCGTGTGTGTGTTCTTGCTGGAGATGCATTAACTACGGTGTTTAAGGGAGATCAAACTCACTGGTGGAGCAAGTTTGAGTATATGTCTGCACAAAGTCAGATACAGTTAAAATCATGGTTCTAGTAAACCAAAAGGTTGTAGGAACAATGTAAGCATCATCCCTTTCTTTTCCAATTCTCGGAAATCTTCTTTAAAAGTTAAACCCTTGAACACACTGTCACGTATATCTGAATAAATGGCCTAGGCGGGCGCTAGGCGGGCTAGGCGGGGGCTAGGCGGTCTAGGCGGGCTAGGCGGGGGCTAGGCGGTCTAGGCGGGCGATAGGCAGGCGCTAGGCGGTCTAGGCAGAAGCTGGCGCCTAGAAGAAAGAAAAGGTCATTTCGGAACTCCAAGGTCTGGGACGAGATGACAATGGTGATATGAGGCGAGATAGAGAGACGACGATGAGATTGAAGAAGACGAGAGGTTGCGTGTTATGTTTAGGGTTTAGAAAAGGGCCTGGACAAGAGAGAAGGGCCTGGGCTTCATAAAATACAACATTAAATGAATTTTGCATTATAAAATCACTAAAGTAACCACTAATAAGTAACAAATAACTATTAAATATCCAATACACAAAATTGCTTACACAACTCGAATCAGCAGTATTTTTCCTTTTCTGTCTCATACTTCTTGTAATAAAAATTCATTGTTTCAGGTGAAGGAAAACGAATAAAGTTAATGCTCAGCCTCATAGCTATTTGTTTTATCAGTATCTCGGTTGCCATAGTGTTCAGCTTGCACAGACTGCAATCTAACCAAAAAAGGTAAGAGAATGAAGTGATCAAGGGATAAAAGAGTTCAAGAATGAGATGCTGTCGATTTCCAAACTCCAACATAAAAATCTTGTGAGGATCATGGCATGCTCCGTCCAGGATGATGAGAATTTACTAATTTACGAGTTCATGCCAAACGGAAGCTTGGATCCTCTTCTATTCAGTTAGTTTCATTACTCTTTGTTACCTAGTGATGGTCAATTTTTTCATTGTGAAGTGCAAGGGATTGGGATGTATTAATGACATTACTGTTATACTGGCTATAATGAAATTTCGTGTTGATGTTTCTTGTTTGTTTTAGAATTGTCAGTCTTGCATATGCATGGGTCAAGTTTCAGATTGGCAAGCACACGGAATTGCATAGAATTATATTGGATTTTTGCCTCAGTTTAGTTGCGCATTGATGTGCCCATTTTTTTCACAAACATGATCCAATTGGTATTTGGTATAACAAACTCAAGCAACATATACAAGTTTTGGCATGCAGGTGGCATACCAAATTCACAAAACGTAAGTGGGGATAAAGGGAACCAAGGTCCCAAAAAGGAGTTGTCCAAAAGATGCAATTCCCCACACAAAACTCCCATCTGGGGACTTGGGGGATTTCTATTTGTGAGGTAAAATACCTCTTGGTCGAGCTGAGCTCAGGTCCAGGTGGTTAGGTTGAGCTCGATATCAATGGACAGGCTGGGCTGAGCTTTGGGCGGGATGTCTTCGGAGTATGAGTGCATGATAACTTTTTTGGAGTTACAACTGTTCACCTTTTTGTTTTTTTTTTAAATAAAAAATTTCAGAGAAATATTTGTCACAATGAGTCTAGCATAAGGAACAGGGCAGGAGATTGTATAAATTTCAGTTTGTGTTTTGGTTTAAAGTATTAATACAACAACATGTTGAGGCAATATGGAGAATTGGAGAAAATTTCAAACCACACCATTTATAATATGATTCATATTCCTCCTCAAATAAAAATATAATCTATATCATAAAACATATAATTTTTTCTTTTATTAAAAAAACATAAACTACATATAACTGTATATATAGCCAGTCAATGAATTGGAAATTGCGTAGGCAAGAACCTAAGGTATATAAACCATAATATCCCCTCAACAAGATCCTTGATTAACTGACCTAGGAGAAAAGTATCCTAAACGTGAAGGGAATGGTAAAAGTGAAAGTTTATCGCTTTCATTCGACTCGTGGTTTACAGTCGCCTCATAATTGTCTTCCTGTTTTTTAGAATGAAGGACATAAGGAGAATTGTTGATGATCCTGCAAAAACACATAAATCATGTGTAAAGTGCTTTGTAAATTGATCAATTATAATTAAATATCTAATGTGTTTTGAAAAAAATAATAATAGAAAACCACAGTATAGACAAGCGGCTATACTATTTCTTCTCCAAAAAATTAGAAAACCAAGTATAGCCGAGAGGCCATACTAAATATTTTTAAAAACAGAGGCGATAAAAAAAATTAGAAACCCCCATTATAGCCGCCGGTTATTCTATAAAATTTTCGTACATTTCTCCAATTAATTCAAGAAATAGCGACTTTCAGAAGGAACAAGGAAAGTTAATAAACAATCCAGTAGAAGCTTTGAAAGTATAAAAAAATAGTTCAAATGTTTGGTGTTGAAAGCATTTTTATGCCAAGTTTTGAAGTTTCTAGAGAACGATTAAGCGCAATAAATATAAAGATTTGATGTGCTTTTCTTTAAGTTGTGTACATATTCCATTTTATCAGTTCAGTTCTCATTCTCAAAGTAAAAAATTAGTTAGGAAATTGTGGTCAAAATGTTATTACCTAAGAAGAGAATAATAAGTAGAACTGTAACCATCCAGTCGGCGAACATGACGTTGAAGGCCACTCCTATGCTGATGCCCAGCATGAGCATTGGCTGAAAGAGAAATGCCAGATCATAATCTATAAGGGGCATGTCCAGTGTTGGGTGCCTAAGCCTCAAATTGAAGTATACAGTTGAAACTGAAGCACCCATTATCATACCTGCATGACCAATAGGATGGCATATAGTTCTTTAATTCTGTCTAAACTGAATACATTAAGATTAAGTTAACAAGTTAAAAGAAAAGATTAATAAGAAAGGTGATTACTAACACTTGGAAATGGCAGTGGAAGACTTGGGATCAAAACCAATGATCAAGGAATTTTGAATCCAAACCTCTTCAGTGATTTTTCCTTGCCAAGGATTTCTTGACAAGATTTTCTGACTGACAAAAAGAATAGAGTGAATTTTGTCTTGCGTTGAACTATACCTAAGGAGGAATTCCCAATTCAAGAAAAAGGGGTCCCAAGAAGAAACCGCCTCCCAGCCCAAGTAGGCTACCCATCATACCAGCTACTATCCCACAGCTGCAGTACGGAAAAATCTGATGCAACTTCCAGTTTGTGATTTCCTTTCCTTTGGACGCAATCACCCTGGTCCTTTGCATAAGAATTTGGCTTCAAAGAGCGTAACGGAGACTGCAAATGGTACCTACGAAATGATAATATTTATGTTCAACTGGACATCATTCTTTTTATGTATGCTTGAGTGTATATAGTTATGTGTTTCTATAGTGTCCGTGAAAGAAATCTTACTACTCTGGTTGTTAACTTTACCTGCAAGGAGTTCAGGACCCAATAATTCAGTAACAAAAGTTAAAATCATGGTGCTTTGGAAGCAAATGCAGAGGTATTAGAAAGATGGAACTTGATTGCATTGCAAGTGATGATCGTATCTTTTGGAGAGCATTTTAAGGTCCGGTATGCGAATATATGAGTTCCTAGAAAAGCTTCTTTGGTTGTACAGAACTACAGAGTAAAATAACTTACCTTAACAATCTGAACAATAAGAAAAGCCACCCAGACATACACAATCATCCATAACTCCTTCCAGTAAACATTGTCGTCGTTGTGTGATATAGGCACCTGGATAGAGTTGTTCATCATATCAATAAAACAAAAACTGAAACCACTTAAAATTGCAGATAACAAGGAAGTTGCAAAAGAATACAGGCTTAGAAGTTCTGATATTCTTGGAACTTACCTGCTCATCTGGCAATGAAGCTGGACCACTGGGTAGCAGTTTATAGTCTTCTCCAGAACCATCCGCACAGTGTTGAATTATAAGCCTTAAGCTGACTTAAGAGTTAGTTAATCAGTTTTTTCCTTTTATCCTTGTTTTTTGACAAGTGTATGTTCTCCATTGGTTACCTAAGTGAACGGCTGAGATCATCTTGTGATGTAAGAGATCCAGCTGTTGTGCATAACAGATATATTCCTCACACTATGTGTGTGAGGTTATTAGAGAGAAAATATGATGAAATGAAATTGCTGCTGCTACACGTATAGCAGACAGATTCTCTGCTAAATTTTTTCTGCTTCTTCTTCCACTTAATTTTTCCTTCTGCAAAATCTGAATACACTAACATGGCCTCAGAGCCAGGTTGGATTGTCTAAAGAGCTGGGCGTTCAATCTGTGAAATAAGAAGATATCATCGGGAAATTTGAGTTTTCTTCTCAATCTGAAAGCAACTCGTTTTTGGAAGAATCAGAGATCAACCATGGCTGGATCTGGAAGCTCAGATGTGAGAACTCCAATTTTCTCTGGTGAAAATTATGAGTTTTGGAAGATTAAGATGGTGACCATATTCAAATCATATGGGCTTTGGAATCTGGTAGAGAAGGGAATTCCAGTTTCAGATTCGAAGAAGAAGGAGAAGGCAACTGAGGAGACTTCAGAGGAAGAAGATGATGAGAAAACAGCTGCAATCCTCATGAAGGATGCAAAGGCTCTGGGTATTATCCAAAATGCAGTCTCAGATCAGATTTTTCCACGAATAGCAAATGCAGACTCTGCCAAAGCTGCTTGGGAGCTATTGCATGGAGAATTTCATGGTGGAGATCATGTTAGATCGGTAAAACTTCAAAATCTTAGACGTGAATTTGAATATACTAGGATGCATGATAGTGAGTCATTGTCTACTTATCTTACTAGACTGAATGATCTGATTAATCAAATGAAAACATATGGTGAAGTGCTCTCGAATGAGAGGCTTGTGCAAAAGGTTTTGATTAGTCTTAGCAAGGTTTATGACCCCATTTGTTTAGTGATTGAAAACACTAAGAGTCTAGAGACTGTGGAGTTGCAAGAGGTAATTGCTATTCTGAAAAGTCAAGAGCAGCGATTTGAGTTACACAATGCAGATGCAACTGAGAAAGCTTTTGCCTCATTCACAGTGAGTTCAAAAGGTCAGAATAAAAATGCAACTAATTCTGGTCCATCCAAGGCTCAGAAAAATTGGAATCCTAAAGGCAAACCTTGGAATCGAAAGGCAAGCCTCAATGGAATAATTCTGCACAGACTCACAGCTCATCTACAGGTCAAGAAGCTGTAAAACCCCAATGCAAGGTGTGCTCCAAGTATCACTTTGGAGAATGCAGGTATAAAGGCAAGCCAAAGTGTTACAATTGTGACAGGTTTGGTCACTTGGCTAGAGAGTGCATTGCAGAGAAGGCTGTGCAAAAGGCAAACTGTGCAAGTCAAAAGGAGGTGGCTGGAAACCTGTTTTATGCAAACTGCACTACCACTGAGTCAAAACCGAATGGGGATTGGTATATTGACAGTGGCTGTAGCAATCATATGACAGGAAATGTGGATTTGCTTGTTGACATAAGGACAAATGTGGCTGGAAAGGTGCAGATGCCAACTGGTGCTCTTGTGAATGTGGCTGGCATTGGTTCACTAGTTATTGACACAACAAATGGAAGAAAATACATTAGGGAAGTAATGTATCTTCCGGGCTTGAAAGAGAATCTGTTAAGTGTTGGACAAATGGATGAGCATGGATATTGTTTGGTGTTTGGAGATGGAATGTGTAAGGTGTTTGAAAGCTCCTCAATGAACAGCCTCATTATCAAAGTCCAAATGATGAAAAACACTATGCTATCCCCTGTCATTCCTAGCTGAGAATCAACTGCTCATGAAGGCTAGTATTACACATAGCACATGGATTTGGCACAAAGGCTAGGACACCTACACTTTAGAGGACTGAAACAGTTGAGAGACAAAGATATGGTACATGGATTACCTCAATTGGAAGAGCAAAATGTTGTGTGTGAAGGCTGCCAGTTTGGAAACAACACAGGGATGTTTTTCCAAATAATCAAGCTCAAAGAGCAATCTCTCCACTTGAGTTAGTCCACACTGATCTTTGTGGGCCTATGAAAACTGAATCTGTGGCAGGAAATAAATACTTCATGTTGATCTTGACGACTGTACAAGGATGAGTTGGGTGTATTTCTTAAGAAACAAATCTGAAGCTTTCAATTGTTTCAAGAAATTTAAATCTATGATTGAGTTGCAATCTGGACACAAAGTGAAATGCTTGAGAAGTGACAGAGGTGGAGAATTTCTATCTTCTGAGTTCATAAAGTTTTGTGAAGATCATGGGATTCAAAGACAGCTCACAATGGCCTATACTCCTCAGCAAATGGAGTGGTAGAAAGGAAAAACAGGACTGTGGTTGAAATGGCCAAGTCTATGCTACATGAGGAAATACCTTATTCTCTTTGGGCAGAGGCTGTACACACAGCTGTATATATCTTGAATAGATGCCCCTACCAAGTGTGTGAACAATGTCACACCTTTTGAGGCTTATAGTGGAAGAAAGCCAGGCATGCTCCATCTGAAAGTCTTTGGCTCTTTATGTTATGTTCATGTGCCTAATGAACTAAGACATACACTTGAGCCCAAGAGTGTGAAAAGGAGTGTTTGTTAGGATATGCAACCTGTGAGAAAGGCTATAGGATCTATGGATCCAATCTCCAAGAAGCTCACCTTATCAAGAGAGACATTATCTTTGATGAAGAAGTCTTGGAACTGGTCCGAGCACTCAAATAAAGTTGTGACATCATTTCCTGATGAAAGTCTAAGTGAGCATGACTTTGATATAGGAGATGGAGCTGAAAATGTTGCACTAACACCTCATACTCAAACCCGATATGAAAGGAGTCCATCATTCTTTCAAGCATCATCACAACATATCTCAAGTGACATAAGTAGTGAAGAAAGGAACACTCAAGCTATGATCACTCACCATTGAAGTGGAGAAAGTTAGATGATGTGCTGCACATTGCAATCTCTGCATCATTGAACCAGAAAGATATGCAGAGGCAGCTCAAGACAAGGCATGGCTAAGAGCTATGGAAGATGAACTCCAAATGATTGAGAAAAATGGTACTTGGGAATTGGTTGACAGACCAACTGAGAAACCAGTTATTGGAGTCAAATGGAGTTCACAAACCCAAGCTAAACTTGGATGGTTCAGTTCAAAAGAACAAGGCAAGGTTAGTTGCAAAAGGATATGCTCAGAAACCGGACTGGATTACAATGAAACCTATGCTCCTGTGCTAGATTGGACACCATTAGAACCCTCTTGCCTTAGTGCTCAGAAAGAGTGGAAGTGTACCAGCTTGATGTAAAATCAGCGTTTCTAAATGGTGTATTGCAAGAAGAGGTCTATATAGACAAACCGAGGGTAGGAATCAAAGGCAGGAAGATAAAGTTAGGCTGCACAAGGCCTTTATGGTTTAAAACAAGCACCTAGAGCTTGGTATGGAGAGATAGACACCTACTTCATGCAATGTGGTTTTAAGAAAAGCCTAAGTGAAGCTACTGTATACCAAGTCAAGAGGATAGAGATATTCTCATGTCTCCATTTATGTTGATGACATGTGTATACAGGGAGCTGCAAAGAATTGTTAGATGAATTCAAGGAAGAGATGATGATGAAATATGAGATGGACAGATTTGGGCCTTCTACATCACTTTCTTGGCATGGGGGTGGTTCAACGAATTCAAGCATATTCATTCATCAAAAGAAATACGCAGGTTCTCTATTGAACAAATTGGCCTAAATGAGTGCAAGTCTGTAACTACCCTCTTGTAGCAACTGAAAAGCTAGTTAAGGATGACGGAAGTGGAGCAGCAAGTGAAGAGCAATATAGAAGCATCGTAGGTAGCCTCTTGTACCTAACTGCCACCCAGACCCGACATTATGTATGCCTCTAGTCTGCTTGCTCGTTTCATGCTTGCCCCACAAATAAGCACTATGGAACTGCTAAACGAGTCTAAGGTATGTGAAGGGACTCTAGATTATGGTCTAGAGTATGTAAAAGGAAGGAATGCAATGCTGATGGCTTCTGTGACAGTGATTGGGGAGGATCAATTGATGACAGCAAAAGCACTTCTGGTAGCATTCTCCTTTGGGCAGTGGTGTCTTCTCTTGGGCTTCAGTCAAGCAGAATTGTGTGGCGCTGTCCACAGCAGAGGCAGAATATATAAGTGCATCCGAGGCTACTGCTCAGGCCATTTGGCTTAGATTCGTGTTGGAAGATTTTGGAGAACTTCAGACAGAAGCAACCCCATTGCAGTGTGACAATACATCTGCGATTGCCATTACAAAAAACCCTGTGTTCCATCAGAAGACAAAGCATATTGATCGAAGATATCACTTCATCAAAGATGCACTTCAAGAAGGCATCATTGACTTGGTGTACTGTCCTACTAAGGAACAACTAGCTGACATTTTCACCAAACCTTTGGCTAAGGATCCATTCATTATCTCAGGAGCATGCTTGGAGTTAAATCAGCTCAAGACTTAAAGGGGAGTGTTGAATTATAAGCCTTAAGCTGACTTAAGAGTTAGTTAATCAGTTTTTTCCTTTTATCCTTGTTTTTTGACAAGTGTATGTTCTCCATTGGTTACCTAAGTGAACGGCTGAGATCATCTTGTGATGTAAGAGATCCAGCTGTTGTGCATAACAGATATATTCCTCACACTATGTGTGTGAGGTTATTAGAGAGAAAATATGATGAATGAAATTGCTGCTGCTACACGTATAGCAGACAGATTCTCTGCTAAATTTTTTCTGCTTCTTCTTCCACTTAATTTTTTCCTTCTGCAAAATCTGAATACACTACCCACAGCTCAATACTATCTCTTTTAAAAAAAATAAAATTAAAAAAAAACGAGTTTAACCGCACGACTATACCGTTTATATATGTATTGTTAGCTCAAGTGCAGAAAAAAAATTCACAACTTGCTCCATACTCAACTCATTTTCTAGAGTACCAAACCATCTTAAAGCTCAACTTGCTACAAAACTTCAAATTTCAATAACTAATATAACCCAATTCAAATATTCAAATATAATTATTACCTAATTAGAGTATTACAATTTACACATGAGTATTAAAATTAAAGATGGCCAATGATAGGAGAACAATATAAAAATGAGTCACAGATCATGATCCTAAACAGCTTGAATAAGTGGATGCATTGGGTATGCTCGGCCTCGGAAATCAAGATTGTGGGGATAATAATTCCTCATATATTATAGTCTCACGGTTATACTATTTAAATATATTATTTGAAGGCGTATAGCTGCGCGATTAATGTAATAGGTGGGCAGATTTCTGTTGTTCAAGGTCTTTTGGAAGAGCTGCCTGGAGAGTTTTTAAGTTACATGCGTTCCATGGACATGAAGCCACTCACCTTCCATGCAGCAAGCCAACCATCTACATCATAGGTTCGTTCTTCTTCGCAGATGCAGTAGTTCAATCTCAAGAATCTGTTCATTATCAAACATGTTACCAAGGACTAATTTCAAAGTGCTTTTTGTTTTGTTTTCGTTTTTAATTTCATATATAGTGCTTTATCAGTGCCTCACCGAAAGGTTTGGACTCTGATTCCAACTGCTTTTCTGCTTCCTGAAAGTGATGTGAAACCTCAAATTCCTTGTCATTAGATTGGTAACAGACCATATTCATTGATAGTTCAGGAAACAGTTAAGTGAAAACCTTACCTTCTTCATCATTGTCTCTTTTCCCATGTTTCTATGCCCTTCATTAAAGCTTTTGCTGCTGTAACTGCCAGAACTCAGAAGAAAATCTTATAAGATTATTCAGAGTATTCAAAGTAAATGAGGAATTTGTGTTCAAAATGTTATTACCTAAGAAGAGAATGATAAGTAGAACTGTGACCATCCAGTTGGCGAACATGACGTTGAAGGCAACTCCTATGCTGATGCCCAGCATGAGCATTGGCTGAAAGAGCAATGCCAGATCATAATCTATAAAGGGGCATGTCCAGTGTTGGGTGCCTAAGTCTCAAATTGAAGTATACTGTTGAACCTGCAGCACCCATTATCATACCTGCATGACCAATAGGATGGCATACAGTACTTCAGTTCTGTCTAAATTGAATACATTAAGAATAAATTAACAAGTTAAAAGAAAAGATTAAAAGGAAAAGTAGTGATTACTGACACTTAGAAATGGCAGTGGAAGACTTGGGATCAAACCAATGATCAAGGCAAGCATTGCCTCCACCCCCAACACCTCCCACACTACCCAATGCTGCACCAGAGAATCCAACTATTGAGCCAATTAACTACAATTTTCCAACCAAAACTTGATCTCCTGAACAACCAAAATACATATGTCAAAGTCAAAATACCACAACAGTAAACATGAAAGGAAGAATCATAAAATCTTATTGGAAAAAGTCAAAAATACCCTAAAATTAGACGTAAAAGTTATATCCCCTTTATGTTCTCGCCTCTCTCTCTCTCTCTCTCTCTCTCTCTCTCTCTCTCTCTATGCGTGTGTTCTTGCTGGAGATGCATTAACTACGGTGTTTAAGGGAGATCAAACTCACTGGTGGAGCAAGTTTGAGTATATGTCTGCACAAAGTTCAGATACAGTTAAAATCATGGTGCTAGTAAACCAAAAGGTTGTAGGAATAATGTAAGCATCATCTCTTTCTTTTCCAATTCTCGGAAATCTTCTTTAAAAGTTAAATCCTTGAACACACTGTCACGTATATCTGAATAAATGGCCTAGGCAGGCGCTAGGCGGGCTAGGCGGGGGCTAGGCGGTCTAGGCGGGGCTAGGCGGGCTAGGCGGGGCGTCTAGGCGGTCTAGGCGGGCGCTAGGCAGGCGCTAGGCGGTCTAGGCAGAAGCTGGCGCCTAGAAGAAAGAAAAGGTCATTTCGGAACTCCAAGGTCTTGGACGAGATGACAATGGTGATATGAGGCGAGAGAGAGAGACGACGATGAGATTGAAGAAGACGAGAGGTTGCGTGTTATGTTTAGGGTTTAGAAAAGGGCCTGGACAAGAGAGAAGGGCCTGGGCTTCATAAAAATACAACATTAAATGAATTTTGCATTATAAAATCACTAAAGTAACCACTAATAAGTAACAAATAACAATTAAATATCCAATACACAAAATTTCAGGTATATCACGAATTCTGAGTATTGATACTACGGAGAATTCAAGAGACACTCTTCAAGAATATATCATAAACCAAAGATCCATCGGAGCTATTCATCTATAATTTTGATAGCATATGATTCCCAAATTCCCTTATGTTTGTGTTCATAATTAACTAAAAATTAGTTGCATTGCATGGAGTTTAGATTTAACTTTTCTAGTATAATTTTTCTCAAGACTAATAACAAAGAAAGCCAATTTCGTCCAATTCTCAATTTTTGATTGTATAGTGGCTATATGTCTCTGGGAGTATGCCATGGGCGGGATGTTTTTTGAAAAAATATCTAAATGGCTACCTTCGGGTTCTTAGAATTGGGAGATTATTAGTGTGGCAAAGAGAGATACCATCTTTCTATGCGCAGTGACCAAGAACATATGGCTTTCCTATCTTATTGTAAGCTCACGCTCAAATCCTAAGCAAAATCGTTTATCTACAACGCTTTAAAGAACCTTAGTAGATAAGCTACATGCACGCAGAGTTTAACATAATTCTAGCCAAAGCAGTACATGAAATTTTGAAGGGGCATGGGCACTCATGGATATGAATTACAACGGCAAGGGTTTGGGGGGGGGACGTGGGTTGATGACCATGATTGGCCGAGATTCTATTACACCTTCGAAAAATCTCATGGATCTTTTCTGTTTGTGTTTTGTGGAAACCCAAAGGGCATTGCATATGCATGGGTCACAAGTTTCATTGCAAGCACACACTGGAATGCATACAAATTATATTTGATTTTTGGCTCAGTTTAGGTGCCCATTGATTGGGCCCCTTTTTTTCACAACTGATCCAATGGTATTTGGTATCAAAACAACACAAGCACATTTACACGTTTTGGCATGCCAGGTGGCATCCAAATTCACAAAGCGTACGTGGTGATATAGTGCACCCAGGTCCCCAAAAGGAGTTCTCCAAAAGATGCAATTCCCGACACATAAACGCTCGTCTCGGGTACTTGGATTTTCTATTTGTGAGGTAACAATACCTCGTGTCCATGTTGGTCGGTCGTTGAGCTCGATATCAATGGACAAGCGGCTTGCCTTGGGCGAGTCCCCGGTATAGTGCACGATAACTGCTTTGATAGTTCCAACTATTCACTTTTCTTTTTAAAAAACCTTTCGAGAAATATTTGTCACAACGAGTCTAGCAGAGAACAGGCCGGGCTTGTATATAAATTTTCAGTTTGTGTTAGGCTTTAAAGTATTAATACAACACATAGTGAGGCAATAGGGAGAATTGGAGAAAATTTCAAACCCACCACCATTATTAATATATTTCATATTCCTCCTCAAATAAAAATATAATGATATCATAAAATATACATATAATTTCTTCTTATTATAAAAGAAGACATAAAACTACATCGACTGTATATATAGCCAGTCAATCAATTGGTAAATGCCGTAGGCAAGAACCTAGGTTTTTTTTTTTTTTTTTTTTTTTTTTTTTTTTTTTTTTTTTTTTTTTTTTTTTTTTTTTTTTTTTTTTTTTTTTTTTTTTTTTTTTTTTTTTTTTTTTTTTTTTTTTTTTTTTTTTTTTTTTTTTTTTTTTTTTTTTTTTTTTTTTTTTTTTTTTTTTTTTTTTTTTTTTTTTTTTTTTTTTTTTTTTTTTTTTTTTTTTTTTTTTTTTTTTTTTTTTTTTTTTTTTTTTTTTTTTTTTTTTTTTTTTTTTTTTTTTTTTTTTTTTTTTTTTTTTTTTTTTTTTTTTTTTTTTTTTTTTTTTTTTTTTTTTTTTTTTTTTTTTTTTTTTTTTTTTTTGGGGAGGGGTTTTTTTTTTTTTTTTTTTTTTTTTTTTTTTTTTTACCCGAGCAAGTTTGAGTATATGTCTGCACAAAGTTCAGATACAGTTAAAATCATGGTGCTAGTAAACCAAAAGGTTGTAGGAATAATGTAAGCATCATCTCTTTCTTTTCCAATTCTCGGAAATCTTCTTTAAAAGTTAAATCCTTGAACACACTGTCACGTATATCTGAATAAATGGCCTAGGCAGGCGCTAGGCGGGCTAGGCGGGGGCTAGGCGGTCTAGGCGGGGGCTAGGCGGGCTAGGCGGGGGCTAGGCGGTCTAGGCGGGCGCTAGGCAGGCGCTAGGCGGTCTAGGCAGAAGCTGGCGCCTAGAAGAAAGAAAAGGTCATTTCGGAACTCCAAGGTCTTGGACGAGATGACAATGGTGATATGAGGCGAGAGAGAGAGACGACGATGAGATTGAAGAAGACGAGAGGTTGCGTGTTATGTTTAGGGTTTAGAAAAGGGCCTGGACAAGAGAGAAGGGCCTGGGCTTCATAAAATACAACATTAAATGAATTTTGCATTATAAAATCACTAAAGTAACCACTAATAAGTAACAAATAACAATTAAATATCCAATACACAAAATTTCAGGTATATCACGAATTCTGAGTATTGATACTACGGAGAATTCAAGAGACACTCTTCAAGAATATATCATAAACCAAGATCCATCGGAGCTATTCATCTATAATTTTGATAGCATATTGATCGCAATGAACAATATCAACATCACAAACAAACTCGGGGAAGGAGGATTTGGTCCAGTTTACGACGTTATTGTTTATTTGTTTTTCTCTTTCTAAAGGAAAATATAGTATCACACAGCTACAATAACAGATAAGGACATGAATGAAGTGATTAATTTGTAGGTACCCTAAAAGAAGGGAAGGAAATAGCAGGAAAAGGAATATCTAGTAGATCAGGGCAAGGCATAGAAGAGTTGGGGATTGCTATAGGGCTTCTTTATCTCCACCATGAGTCTTATTTGAAAGTAATTCATAGAGATTTGAAGGTCAGTAATATTCTCTTGGATGACCAAATGAACCCAAAAATTTCAGATTTTGGATTGGCACGTATCATTCAAGGGACACATAATATAACAATTACTCATAAGCGTGAATGGATTTGATCAATACAATTTATAATTAAATTGAGCTATTAAGATCCATGTTTAGTCAATTTATAATTAAATTGAGCTATTAAGATCCATGCCAAAATTAAGTACATGTAAAAAGGCCACAAAGTTCTGTTTGCTGAAGGGGGAAAGCACTTTTGTGGATTTGCTTTTTAGTCTTGTCTTTTGCCTCTAGGCATTGCCACTAAACTTGTGGATGACATGGGTGGAAGCTTAGTCAAACTTTACAAGAGCATTGAAAATCTCAGTGACACATACTACAACCTGCTACTAACAAGGACGAGGCCTTGCTGAAACCTACGACACTTTCTGCTGGAGCTAATGTCCTTCGGATTTTGACCAACGATGATCCAAAGGCCCGCCGAACAGTTCTGTTGTGTGACCAGTTGCTGATATGTCTCAGACAACCCTAAGCTATTTGTCCACGCTGCAGAGGAACTATAGTCCCGCAAGATGTATATTGCTTCACCAGAACTATAAGGCGACCCTTGAGATGACAAAAAGAAATTGGAAATGTAGCCTAGTTGATGGAAATGTTATATTGGTAATAAAGACACATTTATTCACCCATCTGTAAACTATATTCCCTATATATAGGTAATGACAGATTTGTACCTGTAGGGTTGGCTTTGTGGTCGACTAATGCAGTGTCCAAGGTGACCCTCCTACTTCATGATCCATTCACCATTCCATCCAAGCCTATAAATTGGTCTTTTTTTTAAATGCTTAAGCATATGCTGCCCTTCTCTGTCCTCAATATTGCCTGAATGGCTACCACCAACAGCGCTACTGTGAGTTTGAAGCTCCTGATTGACACAAAAAGCAACAAAGTTCTGTTTGCTGAAGCAAGCAAGGAAGTTGTGGATTTTCTCTTCACTCTTCTGTCCTTGCATGTTGCAACTGTGACTAGGCTCCTCCTCTCTAATGGTGTGGTATGGTTGGTTGCTTAGGAAAACTTTACGAGAGCCTCGAAAATCTCAGTGACACATACATGCAACCCAATCTTAACAAAGACTACCTGCTGAAACCCAAGACAACAATTTGTGGCGCTAACATCCTTCATTTGGCAGCCAACAATGACTCGAATGCGCCTAAACTGTTCTACCTCTGCAAATTGCAAGCGCCATATTTCTGATAGTCCTGTAACAACTTGTCCAACGTGCATTTCACTCAAAATATCCACCCAGGTGTTTTATGTTGCTCCTCCACCAGAACCTACTGGAGTGACGTCTGGCAATATTAAGAGCGGATACGTCAAGAGCGACATTATGTACATGATAATGATGATTTGGAAGTGAAGCCTATGTCTACTGTATCAAGTATCACATTGGTTAAAGCGTTGAACTTTTAAGACGATTGATGCTTTTGAAGAGAAGGTGGTTGATCTTGACATTGAAGAGGTTTGATCTCTTTTGTGAAATTTGTTTTGTTTACAATAAATAGTGTTCTCTATCTGTGTCTATTGATTGATACTACATATTTTGTTTTTGCTTCTTAGGGTTTGAAGTTGGTGAAGGCATCATTGGAGTCAAAAACCGCTCTTACAAATGTTTTCCTTGGTAATAAAGTGCATGAAGGTTTCAACTTTGGTCCTCTAAAGAAATTGAGCTTTTGGAGGTTCATTTTAGTTTGTGGATTGACATTGACTATATTGGCTTACATTGGATTATTTCAACGTTGGCCCTCTGATCTTATTGGTAACAAATATTATACCGCAAGATATGGTAAAAACGACCTAACAAGTCCAAGGAAACCAATCTGCTTTCCCAATGATCCTTTTGCACTGTCGTTGATACAAAAATGAACAAGGAGAACCGATAGTGCGGCTGAAGTAAACTTGCTCATCTACACTGCTCCGCGGGGATAAATGTGGACTTTATGAAGCACTGATTCTCTAAGGCATTTGCACTGTTTTGTTTTTGGTTTTTCTGTTGATTTTATGTTTTGGGCCTCCATTTCTTAGTTTCTTTTCGGCATGATCAAATCTCAAACCAGTTGGCCGGAGACCAACTTTCATAACAGTGCTCTGTTTTTTTTCCATTTGGGCAGTTCTCTGTCCTCTTTGCACAAAGAGTTACAAGCAAGCAAATAAGTTATTGATTTTCTTTTCACTCTTCTGTCTTTGCATATTGGTGGTTAACATTTGCATGAAACCTATGGTTAACTAACACGGACACCTTGCAACTCAAACCCTTGTCATGTCACACAAATTCTTACATCAATTTTTAAACACATCAAATGTAGTTTTGTTTCTAACATGGCAGTTTGCAAGCTTATAAAAGCTTCTTGATGCCTTGCATTACAGCTCCTCCTATTTTTCACACCAGATTAATCCGTACTCACGCGTACGTGTGACAAAATTACATGTTCTAGTGATCTATTATCTTCTCTCTCTTTATCTATCAAATTGCTCTCCTCTTACTTGATCTATGAAGTTCATCATCCATTCCAAAGAATAAACTCGTCCATGTAATTATGGATCAGTCTTCTTGATGTCATCAATGGCAATCACCAAAAATAATGTGAAACTCCTAGTCCATGTAAAAAAGCCACAAAATTCTGTTTGCTGAAGGGAGCATGGGCATGTTAGTTGGCCTTTTCACTGTCTTTTGCCTCTAAACTAGTGAAGTCTGAAGATACAATACAACTAATATGAAAAAGCAAACACAAAACAAAACGAATTGTAAATCTGGCTGTTGGTTTAGTTAATGAATGCAAACTAGTGGAAATAAATACATATTTATTCACTCATCTGTAGATTATATTCCCTATGTATAGGTAATGACAGATTTGTATATGTAGAGTTGCTTTGTGGTCGACTGTTGATGCAGACTCCAAGGTGACCCTCCACCTTCTTGATCCATTCACCATTGCCATTTTGAATAATTTTGAATTTAGGATACTTTTTTTTGTGAAGCTTATAAATAGGTCTTTTTGAAGGCTTAAGCACATGCTCCTTCTTCTCTGTCCTTAATATCCCTCAATGGCTACCACCAACAGCACTAGCATGAGTTTGAAGCTTCTGATTGACACAACAAGCCACAAAGTTCTGTTTGCTTTTCCTTTTCAGTTTTCTGTCTTTTCATGTTGCAACTGTTACTAGGCTCCTCTCAACTGATGGTATGGTTGGTTGCTTAGGCAACCTTTACCAGAGTGCCGAAAGTCTTAGTGTCAACTCATACTTGCCACTCAATCTTAAGGACACCCTGCTCAAACCCAAAACAACAATTTCTGCGTCCAATATCCTTCAATTGCCATTGCCGACCAACAATGACTCGAATCTTTCTAAATTGTTCTACATTTGTGTGAGGTGCAGTAACCGTATTTCTGAGAGCTATGGAATCCCTTGTCCACAGTGCAGATCATGTAACATTTCCACCCCGGTGTCTTATGTTTCTCCATCTGCTCCTACTGGAGCAACCTCCAGCAATATTAAGGCAGGCTATGTCAAGGGTGGTGTTATTTACATGATAATGGATAATTTGGATGTGAAGCCAATGACCACCGAATCAAGTGTTGCAGTGCTTCAAAAGTTTAATGTGAAAGGGATTGATGCTCTTCAAGTTAAGGAGGTTGATCTTGGCATGCAAGAGGTTTCATGTCCAATACATTTCTCTAACTCTTTATCAGTGGCTTGTTGATCTATTTCGAGTGCTAAATGTCTTACGTGTATGTTTCTCTCTCTTGTAGGGTTTGAAGTTGGTGAAGGCATCGTTGGAGTCAAATACAGCTCTTACCAATGTCTTCCTTGGAAAGAAACTGCACAAACTTTTCAACTTTGGTCCTCTAGCGACATTGAGCTTTCGGGGTTTCATTTTGGTTTGTGGATTGGGATTTCTATTCTATTACTTTGGATCATGTAAACTTTGGTCCATTGATTCTATTGGTTTCATTCATTATATCTCAAGAAAACTCATCCGCCATCGCAACAATCATTCAGCTTTATCGTTGATCCAGAACAAATAAGGAAGCCAATTCTGTACTGATGGAGGTTGAAGAAAACTCATCCGCCATCGCAACAATCATTTCTCCCTAATTCAAATGAGTCTTCATATTTATGTGGATATTGCTTTCTGATACATAAATTCACGTTGTAGCTAGCCAAAGCCATCAAACGTTGTTCCATGCAGCTGGTTCTTGATATTTTCCGGGGTTGGGCTTGGTGGAGTGAAGCATGAAGTTGCACGCTGCAACAGCGTCTGCAACTGTGAGATAAATCCATTCTTGACATGTTTTCTCAATCAACTCTGACTTGTTCATGTTCTTCATCACCTCGCTTCCTGGGTTTGCCAGTACAAGCTAAACTTGATAAATTGAAGAGACTGTTGCAGATTTTTGAACCTGGAGCCCCCTTCTGTCAACAAGCTTTTTGACCTCTTCAAACATGCTTATCCCATTTGTGTCTATGTTACCAACAGCTGCAAATTAAACCAGAAAACAAATTAATTTCAGGGTAAAAAATGTCACATTAATTTTCTTTATATATATATGCACTATTTGTTTCCCTTAATTACCAGTCATATCCAATATCACATATTGTAAGCTACTTTCCCCTGCAGATTTGATCCTATCTTCCTCATCATTTATCCACCTTGTAATCCTGAAAACAAGTAGGACTTTGGGTCAACTTCCAAATTGTTATTTTTAAATTTGATTATAACATGCAAGAGTGTGTTCAGGTTTAATTAATTAGTACCTTTTTCTTAAGTAGTTGGTATTTGCAAAGTAAATGGGAGCGTCAATCTCAAGTATGAGAATTCCAGGAACATTGCTTGCATTGGGATACTGCTCAACGTTTCTGTAAACCATGGAATTCGGAAGGTTTCCTTGAACAAAAGTCCTTGGCCTTGCCACAAACAAAAGTACCCTGATCACAGATATTGCAACCTACACACAAGAAAGAAGAAATATTAGTTCTAATAAGTAATGTTAAGTTGTTGATATGGTGTTATTGTCACACAATAATTTTTTACTGGTGTAACATATAGTTGTACGTACCACTAAGACTAGGCTGATTTCAACGCTGCCAAAAAAAGACGCCAATACAGGCACTCATGTAGACAACAAAGTCAAATGTGTCAACCTTCCAGAGGTGAATTGCGGCTTCATAGTTCATGAGGCCAAGCAAGGCGGCTATTATAATAGCAGACAGCACAACCAGGGCAGTGTAATGGAACAGAGGAGTGAGGAACAACAACGTGAACATAACCACAATTGCCATGACAACGTTTGACATTGCCGTCTTGCATCCTGCATTGTACTTAACTGCTGATCTGGAAAACGGCCCTGAAAATTGATGAATTTTTTTCGCTTAATTAGCAACATGAAATGAATCTAATTAACCCTTTAATTTAATTAGTATTAAATGTGTACGATGAGTGATTAACCTGTGGTGAGGTAACAGATATTGCAACCTACACTCAAGAAAAAAGAAATATTAGTTCTAAGAAGTGATGTTAAGTTGTTGATAAGGTGTTATTGTCACACACAATAATTTTTCACTTGTGTGACATATAGTCGTAGGTACCGCTAAGACTAGGCCGATTTCAACGCTGCCAAAAATGACACAGATACAGGCACTCATGCAGACAACAAAGTCAAACGTGTCAACCTTCCAGAGGTGAATTGTGGCTTCATAGTCTATGAGGCCGAGCATGGCGGCTATTATAATAGCAGACAGCACAACCAGGGCAGTGTAATGGAATAGAGGAGTGAGGAACAACAATGTGAACATAACCGCAATTGCCATGACAACGTTTGACATTGCCGTCTTGCATCCTGCATTGCAGTTAACTGCTGATCTGGAACACGGCCCTGAAAATTGATGAAAAAATTTCGCTTAATTAGCAACATGAAATGAATCTAATTAAGATTAAACCCCTTAATTTAATTAGTATTAAAAGTGTACGATGAGTGATTAACCTGTGGTGAGGTAGCAAGAAGTGCAAGAACCAGCAATGTTCATCATCCCAATGGCAATCATTTCTTTGTTCCCATCAATGTGGTAATTCTTGATCATGGAAAAGCTTCTCCCTACTGCTATTCCTTCCTGCACATAGCAATTAGGAAAACCCACAATCCATTAATTGTTATAATTAAGAACAGTTTGCAATACAACATGTTCTTTCTCGTGATCAACTGGCCTAAACAACATCAGTAACTAAAGAACTATGTTAATTACTTACGGCGAGAGCTATACTCCAGTTTTGAAAGCTGTTGTCAGATAAGGAGACACAAACACAAGGTCTCCAAAGGACATTGGATTAAGCCCCTTTTTCAGCTTTCCTATCTGACAATATATACCCACCAGAAAATTCAGGCATTAATTAAAAAAAAATTGTCATTATAGGTAAAAACCAAAATACAAAATACAAAAAGCTTTTATAAATTACATACTACTTTTATAGGCTAAAATCTCTATTGCTCTCTATAGCAATAACTTTTCGACCACATCTTTGTGTTTTCAGGATGCAAAACACATAATCAAACGCCAGTTTTCTTATAGCAGCCATAAAAAATTGAAGCAAGTTCATAATTTAGCTAAAGTCAAGGAAAAAAAAAGGACCCGCCTAGACCCGCCTAGGTGGCCGCCTAGCGCGTAAGCCGATTTTTCCAACAGCCTAACTGAACAAAAGCGCAGTTTATAGGTTTTGAGCTCTAATTATGAACATCATTACTGAATTTAACATTACAGAACAAAATCCACCACCTGTTCTAGATGTCTGTGCATCATAGATTTTCCAAAATAAACAAAATATAAAGATAATTTAGTTAAAACTACAAGTAATCAGAATGCGTTCCACTAAAAAGCAGGAAGCAGAGTAATTGGAGACTGAGCTTAGTGAAAAGAAAAACCTTGGGTTGAAGAAACTATCCCACCAGTCAGAGTCTGCGGCTTTAGGCTCGACTGGAACCAAGCTTAAGTTTTTCTTGAATTTCCTATCTTTCTTGCTTTTCTTTGATTTCTTGGGAGGCGCCATGAGAGCTCCAATAAGGAATTCCCACCCCTTTTTTGGCCTTCAACTTGAAGACTTTGATGGGAAGCGTGATTCAATGAAGCGAGCCAGGCAGCGAAGGAAATTTAAAGTTTGTATAGCCTTTTTTGACCCTTTTTTGTTTAATAAATAGTATAGCCGCGCGGCTATAATATTTAAATATTATATTTATATTGTATATCCCCACGGCTGTACTCTTTAAATATAATATATTTAAAATGTATAGCCGTTCGGCTATACTGGCACGGCTGCACTGGTTTTGACACGTTGGCACCTAATCGCTAGGGAGCCCTCCCTTTTTTTTATAAAAAAAATAGGACAGCCATCGGCTATGCTCGGTTTTAAAAATAAAATAGTATAGCCGGCGGCTATACTTATTTGACACATGGGCAATCCCTAGACGGTTCCCTTTTAAAGTTTTTTTGGAATATATCCCTTCGGTTGTACTTTTTTTTTATAATTAATTTTTTTTAATAAAAACTGTAGCCGGTCAACTATACTCGGTTTTTAACTTTTAAAAAAAATAGTATAGCCGTTTTGACACGTTAGCACCTAATCGATAGACTTCTATTTAAATAAATAGTATAGCCGCGCGGCTATACTCGGTTTTTATTCATGTTTCTCACAATAGTATGCCCAGACAGGATCAAACAAACTATGGTGCAACTAACCATAATCAGCTCAATGATATTCCTCCTAATATATCTGTGGATTTATTTGGCAGTTGATAATCATTTTCCCCCCTCCTTTTTTCCTAATCTAGAAGATGAAATTGCAGGACGTATCTACACCATCTTCTAGAAAACCAAAAGCCAAGAAAAAAGATAGTGATGTCGTTATGTCATCAGTCGGACCAGACCAGACTGCAATTCAAGGCTGTTATTGGGTTTTAGAACTCTCTCTCTCTCTCTCTCTCTCTCTCTCAAGTGTGATCTCACTTTTTTTTTGGGGGGGTCTGACTTTAGAATCTGCATGCTAGTAATGATGTTACTGAGTTGCCTTGCAATGTATTGATTGTTTTAAATTTCATCTTATAATTGTCTTGTTATCTGAATCCCTAGACGGTTCCTTTTTAAAAAAAAATTGTATAGCCGAACGGCTATACGCTTCACGTGCATACTTCATTTTTTTTCATTTTTTAAAGTTAAAAAAAATTATAAATTGTATAGCCGGTCGGCTATACTTCATTTTTAAAATTTTTTTGGGTGAATATATCCCTTCGGCTGTACTAGGTTTTTTTTTTGTTTTAATTTTTTTAATAAAAACTGTAGCCGGTCGGCTATACTCGGTTTTTTAACTTTTTTTTAAAATAGCATAGCCGTTTTTGACACGTGGGCGTCTAATCGATAGACGGGTCCTTTTTTATTTAAATAAATAGTATAGCCAATCGGCTATACGCGTGGTTTTTATTCATGTTTCTCACAATAGTATGCCCAGACATGATCAAACAAACTATGGTGCAACTAACCATAATCAGCTCAATGATATTCCTCCTAATGTATGTGTGGATCTATTTGGCAGTTGATAATCACTTTCCCCCCTCCTTTTTTCCTAATCTAGAAGATGAAATTGCAGGACGTATCTACACCATCTTCTGGAAAACCAAAAGCCAAGAAAAAGATAGTGATGTCGTTATGTCATCAGTCGGACCAGATCAGACTGCAATTCAAGGTTGTTATTGGGTTTTAGAACTCTCTCTCTCTCTCTCTCTCTCTCTCTCTCTCTCAAGCGTGATCTCACATTTTTACTTTCAGTATTCATGTGAATGACTTATTTTGCAAAATCTTAGTTAGACTGCCAATGTCGGTGGAGGATATCTGCGGTAGAGCTGAAATTTTCAGTGATGATCGGGAAGAAGCTGAGTGGTTATCTATGCCTCTTTCTCATCTTAGAGTGCTTGCAAATGAAATAATGTCTCTTCGAGCAAAGGGGCATCTACATTTGGCCCCTGTAGATTCTTTTGTTAGATTGTTAAGGATTTTAGATCATCAGATACATCGAGCTGAAGGCTTGTCTATAAGTACATGTGAGCAGGTGAGCTTGTTTTATGTCCTGCATTCTTTCTTGCATATAGCATAGCTGTTGTGGTAGTTTGCTTCTTAAACTACATTTCTTCAGGCTTTTGTGCTATTCTTCTTGTTTATATTTTCATTGAAAGTTTGTGCTATTTTTAGTTTTGCTTCTCCATGATTTTTTTTTGGGGGGGTCTGATTTTAGAATCTCCATGCAAGTAATGATGTTACTGAGTTGCCTTGCAATATATTGATTGTTTTAAATTTCATCTTATAATGGTCTTGTTATCTCAATCACTGTTTGTCTGACTCCATTTTTTAATTTCTTTTTCCTGAAATTAATAGTATAGCCGGGCAGTGATAATTCCTTTTTAAAAAATTTTATTCCAATACGTTTCAAATATAAAAATTAGGTCAGATATCTTCTTCTTTCCAGCGTCGCCTTCTCCTTCCTCTCTCTGTATCGATCTCTCTCTCTCTCTCTCTCTCTCTCTCTCCCTCCCTCTTTCTTCCTAACAAGCAGCGGATCCTGCGCACTTCAACCGCTTTCGTCCATGCCTCAATGGCAAAACGCCCGCCCAGACTCTCCTAGGGCCGCCTAGAGCCGCCTAGACCTTCCTACAGCTGCCTAGGCCGCCTAGAGCCGCCTAGACTTCCTACAGCCGCCTAGGCCGCCTAGAGCCGCCTAGAGCCGCCTAGAGCCGCCTAGAGCCGCCTAGACCTTCCTACAGCCTCCTAGGCCGCCTAGAGCCGCCTAGGCCACCTAGGCGGGAGCCCAGACGCCGATTAGCTCCCTGGCGCCTACCCCTGGATGCCACATCCTGGAAGGGTACCTCTTGGTGTACTGGAACTGACGTAAGTTAGTTCGAAATTTAAAGATAATGAGCTTTTGGTTGGCGTGGAATTAGGATTACACTGTTTTCACAGTCATGTGGCAGGTCACTAGTGAATCAACCTTCCTAATCTGATGATCTTGTACTGAAATACTAACTAATAGGGTGCATGCAACCTTAGGCCATTTCACTTGATTTTGTTCCATCTCCTGCATTGAACCTAATCCCTTCTTAACTTTGTGGTTCCATTGTTTCCATCGTAAAGCTATGCATGTTGTACAGGTTTCATCTCTTGTTGTGGTACAAGGATGATCCAAAATCACAGCAGAAGTTCATGTACTATCTTGCTAGACTGAAATCAAAACAAGTAGTGCTGGATTCTGGGACTGTTTTTTCATTATTGACAAGGGATTCAATCAAGAAGATTACTTTAGCATTGGGACAAAAAAAAAACTCTTTTTCCAGAGGGTTGGATAAGATTCTTCATTTGCTTCTGGTTAGTAAGCCTTTTCATTTACTCCCTGATTTATTGTATAATAAAATCTCTATTTTGACAATTTAGTTGATTGCAGACAAGTTTAATGGAGAATTCACAAGTCGGGTTCATCAACTTGGCCAATAGGCAGCTCAGCTCTCACATGGTTGCAAGGATTCTGGATTTCCTCATAATTTCATCTACACAAGTAGAATATAATAATAATAATATGCTGAACAAAACAGTGAAATCCCTCACAAGAAACTGTAAGAACAAACAGCATCAAAAACAGAAGAAAAAACCAAAAAGATGACCAAGCCTTAAGCAGCAGGCGCCACTGATTCTTTCCTTGATATGTAGAGTAGGAAAGTAGGAAAAGTTTCTAACCAAGAAGCATATCCTTGATGGAATGTAATTCAGATGCAACATCACTGATATCCTTTCGGTTCGCTGGGGATTCAACAGAACATGCAATTCCAAGTTTAAATATCAATCTCTGTGACACGATCGGGAAAAGCAGTCTTCACAAAATTATGAAGGTTCAAGCCATCACTAAACAAGTGGTCAGTGGGTCTCCTTCCCGTAAACATCTCTAACAAAAGAATGCCAAAGCTGTAGACATCTCCACTTTTCGACACTTCACTTCCCATACTCTGTAGTTGAAGTATCAGAAAATATTGTCACCACAATTCTAAATAAAATGGCTCTCTTAAATTATGCAACAAAGTAAGAGTAACTGATTATGTGCGTGGAAATGAGGGCATGGAACTGTCTATGCAAATGATCAATTAATTGTAATTAGAACCAAGTTAAAAGATAAAGAAAGGCAACAGTGAAGTATACAGGAATATTTACCTGGAGCAACATAGCCAACCGATCCCTTTATGCCAATGGAACTTGCTTGATTTGCTGAAGCCTTATCGGCTAATTTTGCAAGGAATCTTGCAAGTCCAAAGTCAGAAACATGTCCAGTCAACTCTGCGTCCAAGAGAACATTGCTTGGCTTGAGATCACAATGGACTATTGGTGTTTCGCAATCGTTATGAAGAAAATCAAGTGCACAAGCAATGTCAATGGTGATGTCTAGCCTCTGAAGAAGATTTAAATTCTGGGGTGCATCTGTTTCCTCTTTCGTTTCAATAGTCGAATGCAACCACTTTTCTAAGCTCCCATTGTCCATTAACTCATACACGAGAGCCTTGAAATCATTACCTTGATAATCAACAGTTGAACATGCAGTTATAATCTTGACGAGATTTCGATGCCTGATATTTCTTGACGCCTCACATTTCGCCAAGAAACTCTTAGATGCTCCATGATGTAACATGTTAATAAACACCTTGATGGCAACAAGCTGAGCTCCATCAAAATCAAGGACTCCTTTATACACAGACCCAAAACTAGCCACACCAATCAAAATCAACAAGCTGATCTTCATACTTGCATATCTATACTGACTACGGAGGGTTGAAATTACCACCACCACACACATGGCTTTTTTTTTCACAATATCCATGGCATTCACCCTCTTTCCGATAATCCATGTTAAAAGAGTACAGCCGTGCGGTTATACTCCTTTTTTTTTTCCTGAAATTAATAGTATAGCCGGGCGGCGATAATCCCCCTTTAAAAAAAATTATTCCAATGAATAGTATAGCCGGGCGGCGATACTGTTCAGATATAATATATAAAAATAGTATGGCCGGGCCTTTATACTCCTTGTTTTTCCGTTCAAATTGATAGTTTAGCCGAGCGGCTATACTTTTCGAATATAAAAATTAGGCAGATATCCTCTTCTTCCCAGCGTCGCCTTCTCCTTCCTCTCTCTCTCTCTCTCTCTCTCTCTCTCGTCTTTCTTCCTAACAAGCAGCGGATCCTGCGCACTTCAACCGCCCTTCGTCCATGCCTCAACGGCAAAACGCCCGCCCAGACCCGCCTAGACCCGCCTAGGGCCTCCAAGAGCCGCCTAGGGCAGCCTAGGGAGTAAGAGAATATGAAGTTCCGAATCGACGTTGGCACTGTCAGATATGCCTCTGCAGGAAGCAACTTCTTGTTTTACAATCTTTCTGTAGGTCACAATGCAAAGATGATGGGACAAAAGATCGTAATCGTTCAGGAAGAAACACTGAAGTTGCTTTTTCAATTACAAAACTTGAGGTTGTCCAGCAGATGCTTTTGAATTACCTTCAAGATGCCGCATGAGCTGATTTTGGGCATCTCTTTGTTCGCTGGTATGTACTCACTGAACCTCATCCCTTCTTCACTTTGTGGTTCCATTGTTTCCATCATAAAGCTATGCATGTGGTACAGGTTTCATCTCTTGTTGTGGTACAAGGATGATCCAAAATCACAGCAGAAGTTCTTGTACTATCTTGCTAGACTGAAATCAAAAGAAGTAGTGCTGGATTCTGGGACTGTTTTTTCATTATTGACAAGGGATTCAGTCAAGAAGATTACTTTAGCATTGGGAAAAAAAAAAAAAAAAAAAAAAACTCTTTTTCCAGAGGGTTTGATAAGATTCTTCATTTGCTTCTGGTTAGTAAGCCTTTCATTTACTCCCTGATTTATTATATAATAAAATCTCTATTTTGAAAATTTAGTTTATTGCAGACAAGTTTAATGGAGAATTCACCTGTAATTAGGGCCAAGGCTTTATGAGCGGTAAGCGAAAAAATATATTTTTGGACTTTTAATCCTTGAAATGGAAATTGAGAATTCATTTTATGGCTCTGTTGGCAGAATTTAATGTCTTAATATCTTAATATGTTGAGCAGGTCAGTATAATTGTAGAAGCTGATCCGCATGTGCAAGTGCTTACTGGAAAGGATATTGCAGGATAAGCATAAAAATTTGTTTGTCCTTGGCTAGGTCGCAGTTTTTATTCTTTTCCTCTTCCACAGGATATTGTTTGCAAGACAGTTTATGAGTTCTGGTTTGAGGAACCTACTGGTTCACAAACTCAGTTCTTTGGAGATGGTAGCTCTGTTCCATTGGAGGTGGCTAAAAACACTGAACAGATTGTTGAGATGTTGAGGAGGATGCCAAGTCATCAACTTCTTGTGACGGTCATTAAAAGCAACTTAGCCCTTGATTTTTTTCCCCAATCAGTTAAAGCTACCTGTCTCACTTGCATCTGTACGCAAGCGCTGTGAGTTAATGTGCAAGTGCTTACTGGAAAGGATATTGCAGGTATTTTCCCCCCATCTTCTTGACTTGCCAAAACAATTTGGTTGATATTTAAATCTGAATGTTCAGAAAATCTTATTTGTCAGTTAGAGGAAATGGCTATGCAGGAAGGAGAGAGGCGGACGCTTCCATATGTGCTAGCTTTGCACGCATTAATTCTGTGTTGTGGATCCAACACTCTGTGCACCAGCTTCTGACCCTTCCCAGTTTGTGGTCACTCTTCAAATTATATCAATTCCTAGTATAACCGATACTAGGAATTTTTTTAATAAAAAATAGTATAGCCGCCCGGCAAATTTTTCAAAAAAATAGTATAGTCAGGCGGCTATACTCGTTTTGTAAATTTAAAAAAAATATATTATAGCCGAGCGGATATACTTGTTTCACTGGACGCTGGACGGGGTTTTTTTATAAAAGAAATAGTATAGCCGGGGGCTATACTCTTAGAAATTGTATAGCCGCTCGGCTCTACCATTTTTTGACACGTGGGTAACTCGCGCTATGAGGCTGCTCTTTTTTAAATAGTATAGCCGCACGGCTATACTCCATTTTTGTATGGCCTGTCGGCTTTACTAGGTTTTTTTTTTTGGTTTTTCATGAGTAAAGCTATTGTTTCTTTTTATTAATTAAATAATCTCTTAGCCTTATTTAATTACTTTAATTAATAATTATTTCTTTAGTGAATAATTAGTAGCAATATAAGGGGAAATTACGGAAGAAAATGACAGAAAACCCGACAAACCTTGCAAGATTTATATGGAAACAGGAAAGTCAGAAGGATCACCCCGCCTCGGTGGATCATATGCATTCCTTCAGCAAAACAATAAACATGCCGTCTAGTTTACAGTCTCTGTTTAAATATATACATTTCGAATCACTACACTACCTAACAAAAAAATACACTGCTTGCTACTCATAGTGCAAAGACCACAACTATTTTGATTGGGAATAAAAAAAGATGTTATGAGTATTCAGATACCAATATTTTTAAACTAAGAAAAAAAATTAGCAACCTTTTGGAGATGCAGGTTTATCAAGATCAAATGCCGTTCATCTCACAATCTCTACATACCCAAAATTCAAGATGGGGGTTTTGGCCGTGAGATTGATCTTAATAAACTCACTTTTTAAAAGAGAGGCAGAACCTAAATATAACATTTTTGGTTTCTTGAAAATTTAAATATGGTGTAGGACGAGGGTCCAAGTGATGGGTAATGGCGGTTCACTTGGTTTGTCTAATGTTCTTCAAAGTTCATGTGGCTGATGTTTGCTTTTAAAGTTCAGCCTGAAACTTGGTTCATAAATGTGTGTCCTGTCAAAATAGTCCTTAAACTAGAGAGGAATCAAACTATCTTCCTCGAATTACAAAATTGGGACCCAGGAAGAAATTGAAAACGAAAATTCTATTCGATCATTGACATGATTGTGGCTAGAGGAAGCAGCTAAGAGGCCCTTTTTGGAGGAGACATGTTACTGATGAGAGAAGTAGTTGTGCTGACGGTAAATATTTGTACCAGGAACGCTGTGAAATTTGAAACATAAATATTACTCTTTACCCAACTTTGGTTGTAGTAGCATCACATCAAGAAAGCACAGATACTCACCAATTGCAGTGCGGGTGGCCTCGAGAAGTTCGAACTTCTTTGTTTCCCAGTTACTTGGATTTTGGAAAACCTACTCAGTAATTTCATACAAGACAACAATCAGAAAATTCCGACAAAAACAAGAAGGGGCAAATGATTCAAATTTCTAAGTGATAATCAACAGTTGTAATAAAGAACTATCTTACCTCTAATGTTAAATTTCCTATAGCAACACAAGCAATGGAGAGAAGTATTCCAATAGATGATGCAACAATGTAAACTTTCAACAAACTCACTCGGCTGCGCCTTCGACCTTTGGCAAAATAAAAAGTTGTATAACTACAGATGCAAAACCTGAAGTGAATTGAAAGAAAAATGAAGATTAGTAACAGCTTACCTAACTCCCCAATGATCAACGAAATAGAACCAATAGCAACAGATGAAATAGCAATCACATTGGGACCTTCCCCATTTGATGTAAATAGAAATGTATGTAGGACTCCTATCAATTGAATGACAGCCTGCAGAGCAAGAGAGCAAATGCTATCAGAAGAGGAACCTTTTGAAACTGATGGATTGAAAATTAGACTTCATGAATAAATTGAAATGTCAACAACAACAACATGTGATAGTTGGATTGTAATATACTATAGCGCCAACCTCTACCGTCTCATGAAAATATGTTCCCTTATTACTGCCGTATATAATTTGTTCAAAACCTTTAACAATGCAGAATTCGTCCAATTGGCTTTAAATGTAAATGTTAACTTAGATCACCAAGACAAGTTTAGGCATAACTGAACCATCCACCTGCCAGGTAACCCACAAAAAATTTACTCAAAATGGTTTGAATGTGGTTTGAATTCAACCCAATTTTCCAAGGTATCTGTCGTGAGTCACCAAATACAGATTTTCCCTATCGAACACAATCCAAATAAGAGGCTACTTGACCCAATAAACGAATTAGGTTTTTTTACACAGAAGAAAAAAGTTCTATAATTAGTTGCTTGAAAAATTCATGCACAATACTATTACCAGCCTATGCTACGGGGGTAGCCCAGTTAAATGAAAATTCCCATTTAGATAAAGTAATGCAAATTCAGTGAAAACAATCCAAACTTTACATCCGGAATTACAGAGCCAGATTCAATTGAGAGAGACAGTGAGTACCTGAATGAGAATAAGCGCGGAGAGACGAGATTTTCCTTTAGCTACCTTCTGGTAACCTGAAATTCGATAACCCCAAAACAAACTTTAAAATACCCAGTATAAAGAGTTCAGGGACCTAGAAATCCGTTTGGTTGCAGAGAAAATGATAGAAACCAAAAGTAAATTAAGAAAAAAGAAAACAGAGGGGAGATAATCTGATTTTAGAGGTGTAGATGATAGAAGCTTACGAGAGTCAACGACCATGCGGTAGTTGAAATCTGAGCCATCCGTTCCAGTAGGCCTCCCTGACGCTGATCTTCTCTGCTGCATCTTCTTCTTCTTCGATCTTGAAATGGAGAGGTTTTTAAATTTCGATGTTAAAACCTTAGGAAAGATGAGGGGCCCACTCTTATTTTTCTAATTCCTTTTTGTTACGTCTAATTTTCAAATTTTTTAAAAAATTACAAATAATTTTCATTTTGAAAGGCTTTTTATCACAAAACGTCCATGAAATTTACGAAACTATCATATTGCATTCTTTTTTTTGGTCATTCGTGGTCCTCAAGGTTGATATGCGCTCACAAATAGTCATTGCCGTCAAGTTTTGTAAAAAACTCTGTTAGTTTGTTGATGTGGAATATATATGAAGCTCACATATCCAATAATATAGTGTCACATGTATTTTAAATAATTTAATTTTTAAAATAAAAATTTTCTTTTGGTTTTTTCACTTTTAAATTTTAAATTATTTTTAGACCCCACATCAACAAACTAACAGAGTTTTTGATGGCATGAACTATTTGTGAGTACACATATTAACCTTGATCACCACAAATGACCCCCAAAAAAATACAAGAAAGACGCAATTTGATAATTTTCGAGAACCTGGATGTTTTGTGATACCAAAATTGAAATTCTGAGTGGGTTTGTAAGGACTAATTGAAACAAAACTAATTGACAATGTATTCATTTCTAGCGCTCCAATTCATTCTTGTAAGGACTTTAGACATTTTTCAACGTTATCTTGCTTTCATTGGAAAAATACCACATTTACCTTTATTCAATAAAAAGAAAAAATAAAAAACACCATTCGCTAGAGGATTTTACAATAATTTTACACTAACTAAGGTCCGGTTTGAGATTTTTTTTTTTTGCTAAAAACCTGTTTCACTTTCAAGTTAAGCAGTTTAAGGCATTTTGTAAAAATAAAATATCATGAATATTTTAAAAGCAATAGTCTTTTGACAGCAGCTTTTAAAAGCAGCATCTAGGTTGCTTTTCAAAGTTGCTTTCAAAAGAAGCAAAGATGAGCCTTTAATGAAAATTTTGAATTCCCATAATACTATTATTAATTTTAAAAAATGACATTGTCTACCATTACCACAATCACATCCGCCTCCATCATCATCATCATCATCATCACCACCTTTATCTCCACCTCAACCCCTACGTACCACCACCACCACCTCCACCACCACCATCTCTACCTCCACCGCCAGCATCTTCATCTCCACCTCCACTGCCACCACCTTCACCACCACCTTCATCTCCATCACCACCACCACCTGCATCTCCATCACCACCCCCACTTACACCTCCACAACCACCACCACCTCATCTCCTCCATCTCCACCTCTCCACCTTCATCATCATCACCACCACCACCACCACATGATTAACACATAACAGTTTCAACATTATGTTCATTTTAGTCATTATTCACAGTTACAACAGTTTTATATTAAAATTTACCAAACGATATTGACACTGCTTTTTCTACTAATATCACTTCAAAAATATTGTTTACCAAACATGTAGCTACTTTACTTTACAGATGATTATTTTCAAAGCACAACAGAAGCTTCTTTTTTTTATTTTTTTTATTTTATTTTTTTAAGTGACAGTCATCCCAAACTGGCCCTAAGTTGATGAGTTGGAGTGCTAGCAACATTGATTAAGGAATTTAGCAACAACAAAAAAAGAGTAAATAGAGGGGTAATACAACTTTATTTGGATTTCAATAATATTCAACAAATGACAAAGAATCACAACTCAAAACTTTGATCTAACAATAGTGATGATTTGCTTTATTTTGATGTTCAGATTGATGCTGTGGTCTAATTTTATTTGTTTTGTGTTTCGTGAAGTTAATATTGTGGTTTATAAATTAGCTTATTTTGTTTTACCTTTCACTGAGGCATATCCCTTCGTGTTATGGAGTCATTCCCGATATTATTCAGGACTTAACGCAAGTTTGGAAGTTTCCACTAAAATCGCTAATCTTCAACTAAATAGTAATCACTTTGATCCAATAATAGGGTTGAAATGAAATACATGAACAAATTAGTGATGTAGAGCTTTGAAGAAAGCCAATACACCAACAAAAGGCGCATTGATGTACGTGGTCGGCTCTGATTGGGGAGCATCAAATCGAGAGTCTTTGAAGGTATCATCCTCAGCAGGCCCTCCCACGATAGCGCCAGTGAGCACGTTCTGGTTAGGATCGTGGCCGTTGAAGTAGGAGTATCCCACGTGGCAGTCGATGTGCTGTGGGTGCTTAGCCACGCTAGGCAACACGGAACCACGATGATGTACGTTCCTAGGGAACTTTTGCCCAAATCCCACCATGTATGACATGCCCGATGGGTTGCTTCCTAGTATATAATCAACCTGCATTTACATTCATTACTAATTAAATTTAAAAAACCGGTTTTCATTGTAATTTAATCCACCCATTTAATTAAAATATATAATTAATATTTGAATATATGTACCTGTCCTCTGGTGAAACTCACTAGCCTAGCTGGAGTGATATGAACATTGTTGCCACAATCGACAACCTTGTTGGCAAGTTTCATGTAGCGACCATAAACTAGAAGAAGAAATGATACGGACGTTGCATGTTGCAAGTTACTTCCTCCAGGTTTAAACAACAGCCCACCTAATAATTAAAACCGAAAAACAAAAAAATGAGTTTTCGTGTGAACATGCGATCTAAATTCGTCGTATGTTTAAATTTTATGTTCAAAGAATAACTACCTCTTGAGTATGAGACCGATTTTGGGGCAGGTGATTCAGGCAAAATGGAGCATATGAATTGATCGGCTTTGGGAATGAAGGGATTAGAATTGTGGGGATTTTTCATTACCCACTGCAAACAAATGAAAGCTTAATTTAATTACGTGGAGCATAATTGAGGTTGAGTACAAGAATGTTAATTAGAAAAAGAGAGGCTTACTTGAGAAACAAGTATGTTAATACCGGCATGCTTTGCATCCCATCCAAATTCAGAGATACTACCACCTTGAGATGATGGAACAGGGTTCCCATTCACATTTCTTACAACAATATTATTGGACTCCAAATAGTTTATATTGTTTTTGACGTAGTTCCAATAATTAGGGGCCTTAGTTGCCTTGTATAACCATGAAGCTCCCCAAATCAATTCATCCTGCAACACAAAAAAAAACATATATATTAAACTCGGGAACCGAAATTAAGGTTAGTGATGCTACCAGAAAGCCAACTTCTATCTTAATTTTTTGATATCAACCGATGCGACACATAACATACCATGTATCCATTGAAATCACAATAGAAAGGGCAGACTCCTGCCGCAATACTATCATTGTAAGATCCCCTGTACTTATCTGCAAATTCAAACACCTAAACATCCAACAACAAAAAAAACCATTAGCCCAAAAATTAAATATATGAAAAGAAAGAAAATATACATATACACACACACACACCTGCATAGCTCTTCTTAGAAGTACAGCAGCGTATGCCCTGTCTGAGTGTCTAAACACCATGGAAGAAGCTGCAAGTGCAGCTGCAATTTCGGCCGAAACTTCTGAACCGGGCTTTTGTTTACTGACTACATAAGAGGTGCGAGGGGTGTCCATGTCTTCAGGCCTTTGCCAACAACTGTGATCGGCATTTGGGTCACCAACTGCACCAACAACAGAATCAGGAACTCTGGTGGCTTTAAGCAAATAATCAGTCCCCCATCTTATGGCTTCCAGAGCATGTTGAAGCTCCGGCCCCATTAATTGCCCGAACTCGATAACGCTCCACGACAGCATTGTTGTTGTGAAGGCCATAGGAAAGTTGAACTTCACATTGTCACCTGCGTCATAATATCCCCCTACCAGATCCCTCTGAGGAGAAATACTTGTCAATGTTTTATCCAGTCTATAAAGTGTGGTCTATGTAACATTTGGTTTTTCATAATGGTATTTGCTTGAACATTAAACTAGTATAATTGATGAATTTTATTAATTAATTATCACTTATAGGGTGCAAATCCAGTTTTAAGATATGGACATTATTTACTATCGCTCTTTTATATATATAAAAAAGATATGTACATTATTATGCATGATAGGGCCGTTACAGGTGAAAAGTAATGTAAAATTAAGCAAGTCTTAGGGTTTAGTCCATGTGGCAAGAATGGAGGAAAAAGTTCGGTCTTGGACAAGGAGGGTTGATTTATTAGATTGTACATGAGGATAGTAACACTCTGTGATGGCATTACAATTTCAAACAAAAATGTTTGAGAACTTAGTCAAAATTGCAATACAAAGTTTCACGGTAGAAATAAGTCAAAATTGAGAGTTATCATGAAAAAAAGAAGTCAAATCCCAAGACAAATTATATGTTAATGAGAGAGAGAGAGAGAGAGAGAGAGAGAGAGAGAGAGAGAGAGAGAGAGATTGTGTGTGACTCACATGAACATCAAAGCCATCACGTAGGGCAGAACTTTTCCTCCAAGTCATACGTTGGGAAGGTGGTAATCTTCCAGACCTCTGCCCTTCAAAGAACAAGATGCTCTTCGACAAGGCATCGGCGTAATCAAAACGTGAAGAAGCAGCGGTTGTACCGGCTGTTGCCATTACCGAAATCCCTGCTGCTGCTAATATCAAAAGGGACATATTGATACTACACATGATTATGTTCCTCATTCTCTCTAGCTAATTAGACAGATAATACTAATTATAATATGTTTAATCAGGATTATGCATGCTTTTGTCTTGTGTCCAAGATCACCACTTATATATAGTGGTCATGCAATGTCCCTTAGGGTTAATTTTTTGCTCAACCGTAACAAGGAAACAAGGGCCCAAAGAACGTCTTAAGAATCCGTGTTCTAGGTTCCTATAGGCGGCCATATTCAGATTATGGCAATAACTAATTATTAAATACAAAACGTAATAAAACTTTATTAGGAATTACTTAATCACATTTAAGACATTCCAGAATTGCCTAAACTTGGGGTAGATATCATTGTGCCTGGTAGTTTATTCCAAGAACAAATAGGGATTGTTTCCTTTCCTTTTCCGGTATTAATTTAATTTTGTTTATTTCCTTTTCCGTGGATTGTTCATTTTCGTGGATTTCCTATTAGGTTAGTGGCAAATTTAATTGTGTTTGCTCCGGGGTTAAAACTGTGGCACCAGAAAAATCTTAAATCAATCAGGGGATGTGATTATGGATTTTGAGATGGGGTTGACTTTTTTTTCATTCCTGATTGCAAGTAAATGCAGAGAAAGTCAGGAATGAAAATTATTCACTTTCCTCCCATACCTATTATTGATACATAAACTGTTTGACGTCTCCTTGTATGCTCCAGCGAGGGTTCCTTATAGGGGTAAATTCTTTCTGGAGGTGGCTTACAGAGGGGTGGGACAAAGCCGGGCTAATTTTCCTCAAGATGGGGGAAGTGGTTTCGAGTTTAAGAAATTTTTTTAATCCTTAATATTTCTACTAAAAAATTTGCCACTAAACTTAATAACGTTGACTACAATTTCTTTCCTCAATTTTAAGATATATTTTTTTACATTGATTTAATATACCCACAATTGTGCTCACCTCTCTGACTTTTTACCGTAATATACATTTGAAGTTTTAGGTTTAATTTATCATTCATAATATCGCTTGTATAAAAATAAAATGAGAAAAATCAACCCTTTACCTTTCTTTTTTTTCACTTTGCAATTGCAAGTTATAAACAAAAGATAAATTGAAAGAGAGATGAAGAATTTATCAACAAGCTAACTAGCTAGGATGAACGAGAATTGAAGTACGCCAAGACCCCCCACTAAAGGTGCATTGATGTATGTTGTTGGCTCAGACTGCACAAAATCCTCTCGAGAATCAGCATACGAGTCTTTGATATCTGGTCCTCCAACAACAGCCCCAATTAGCAAATTTGGGTTTGGGTTCTTGCTGTTATAATAATCGGTTCCACCTTTGCAGTCAATCTGTTTCGGATGTTGACCAACTGACGGTAAAGATGACCCACGGTGGTGAATTCTCTGAGGAAATTTTTTACCATATCCCACCATATACGACATGCCCAGTGGGTTACTTCCTAGAATGTAATCTACCTGCATCGACCCGTCGGTCCAAATTTATATTAATTAATGAGTATTCACATAAGTTTACGATATTCATTCCCGATAAGTAAACATGCTATAAAAGTATAACTTACCTGGGCTTTTGCAAGTTTTACAAGTCTAGCAGGACTGGCAACAACATTGCCACAATGGACAACTCTACTGGATAGATTCAAATAACGAGCATATACAACTAGAAGAAATGACAGAGTTGTTGCATGCTGCATATTGCTTCCTCCAGGTTTAAATAAAAGCCCACCTGTTAATTTTAATTAATTAACATTATATTACCGCACTGATCATACTATGGTGATTATTATTCAGTCATTAGAGAGGTAGCTACCTGGAGAATAGGAGACTGATACGGTTGGAGATTCAGGCAACAAGGTGCATATGAACTTGTCTGCATTTGAAATGAAAGGGGTGGAACCAGTACCAGCCATTGACATGATCAACTGTTACAAAAACACGCAACTGATCAAATCGATCTTCATATTAGGCAAATGGAATCGATTTTATTAATTAGAAGCAGATTAATGTGCTTAATCAGAATTAAGGAAATGTAAGTAGTACACTTACCTTCGAAACGAGTACGTTGATGCCTGCGTGCTTGGAATCCCATCCGAATTCTGCAAAGCTTCCCCCAAGATATGAGACGCCGTTTATATATTTCACAGTAGCAGAACTTTCCAACTGGTTTATGTTTTGTAACACATAGTTCCAGTAGATAGGTTGCTTAGTTGCCTTAAATAACCAGGCTGCTCCCCAAACCAATTCGTCCTGCATAGCAGAAATTGTCACATAACAAACACTACATATGCTATCAAACATCTTGTTTTAGAAATTGGTAGTAAGAGCATATTATGTGTACTTTACCTCATAGCCACTGAAATCACAATAAAATGGACAGACCCATGGTCCAAGGCTGTCATTATAGGATCCCTGGTATTTATCTGCAAAATCAAACACCTAGTCCATTGCACGAAATGAGCATAATGTAGCTCAATATATAGTTTGAAATAATTATTTAATCTGATTAATGTGTCAGTTAATTAGTACCATTCTAGCTCTTTTGAGAAGCCTGGCAGAGTATTTTAAATCAATTGGTCTAAACACCATGGCAGAAGCTGCAAGTGCTGCTGCTATCTCAGCTGAAACTTCGGAGCCCGGGAACTCTTTGCTCACGGCAAAGGGTGTCCTAGGGGTGTCCATGTCCTCAGGCCTCTCCCAGCAATTGTGGTCGCCGTAAGGGTCGCCAACTTGGACAAAGACAAAGCCAGGAATGCTTGTGGCTTTGAGAAAGTAGTCAGTGGCCCATCGGATGGCGTCCAGTGCATGTTGCAAGTCTGAGCTCATGCCTTTGCCAAACTCTAAAACGCTCCATGCCAGCATTGTTGTTGAGAATGCCATCGGAAAGTTGAACTTAACGTTGTCACCGGCGTCGTAGTAGCCCCCTACCAAATCAACCTGGTCACACAAAAACACATTGATGGCTGGTCCATAATTAAGTTGTTCATAACCTTCAATTGAATCCCACTAATGACTAACTAAAAATCCCATTGATTACAATCAATGCAAATGGCTTCACATGTTTTGCGAGTACTTAAAAGAAAGAAAGAATAAACTCGTTTATAAAAGAAGCAAAGGTAAGTCACATTTATCGAACGCTCTTTCTCTATCCTAAGCAACAAAGTAGCGGTTTCAACTTTTTGCTAAATAAAATAACATTGAGAGCTCCTCTGTTTTTTTTCATCTGAGTGCTCCTCCTCCTCTGTGTTTTTCTGAAATGAATAGATTGAAATCTTGCCCAAAGTTTCATTCTTTAACCATTCTGACCCAAGAAAAGGCAAAAAGAAATCTGATGAGCTAATGTTGTCACATCTAAATTATGAGACTTTTATGTAAAATCTTTCCCATCCCAAATGACACCATCTGAAAGCGACTTGAAAAGTTTATGTTTGGTTCTTGTTGATGATAATGAAGATCCTAAAAAGTCCCAAATGATTTGTGTAATAATAAGAATCTGTAAAATTCAAGAACGAACCCACATAAGCAAGAGAGAAAGAGAGACTTACACCAATCTCATAGCCATCACGAAGTGCAGAATCCTTCCTCCAAGTCATTCTCTGAGAAGAGGGTAACTTCCCCGACCTCTGGCCTTCAAAGAACAATATGCTCTTGCTCAAAGCATCTCCATAGTCATGTGACTGTGAACAAACCACCCTCATCACCATTGCCACCATAACCGCCACCACTAAACCTACTATCCTCTGAACTGCGCACATTCTCTGTCTGTCTCTCTCAAAACCCACCACCTATTTGACACTACTTGTAACTTGTGACCCTCTCTCTCTCTATTTGTGTGTGTGTGTGTATATATATAGGTGCCTAAAAATATTATTGATAGTGAAAAAGAGAAATGAAGAAAAGCAAGAGTAATAGTACGGATGGCTGCTGATCACTTAAGGATGGAAGCGTGAGTTGCCTTTACCAAGAAATGAGAGAGAGAGAGAGAGAGAGAGAGAGAGAGTTTGTTGACAATTGACACAAACCAAGTCTTCACGAAGGGAGGCATTTCCGGGGCCTCCGAGTGAGGTGGTGAATGAATCTTGTATGTATGTTTGGGTTACATATTGACGGCTCTTGTGTGCAAAACTACCCACTTGGATTGGATTATACTTGTAACTTCTTTGACCAACTATTTTGAATTCTTTGATAGTTTTTTTTATATGTTATCCCTAACCAAGTGGGGGATAATGTGGAATGTTTCTCATACATTTTCACTTCATTTCAAGCACACTCAAACGCCTTAAAAGTATGAATGGCAACCTCATTAATTAATAGCAAAGCCAGTTTGTGACATAAATTGTTTAAGGAAACCCAATTATTATTGGAGTAACCATATGTTCTTATCATATTGATTAAGAAGTAAAACAGCCGATTAGGGTTTTTGTTTCGTGTGTTTGAATTTAGGGAAAGAATAAATCGCTTATTTTGACCAAAAAAGCAATAATACTATATTAAATTAATTGAAAAAATACAGAGAGAGTTATCTCAATTAGCAATACGACAGATATGAATAACGCTTATTAAGAGGGAGTTAATTGATTCTTCTCCCCAAAAAGCCAAAAGCATGAACCTGCAAATGAATTTGAAGCCAAAAATAAAGGTGAAGTCACCATATAGAAACACACCTTTACTTGAGGTGGCAGATTATGAAAGATTAAGAGGGCAGAAACACTATAGCCTCCAAGATTGCTTCACAGGGCAGTAAATATCCAAACAAATCATTCGTAGGAATCACAAAAGAAAACGATTTTTTTTTTTTTTTTTTTTTTTTTGTGTGTGTGAAATTTTATTTTATTGAATTTGAATTGAAATGAAAAGGCCAACGAATATCTTGTCTGTTTAGTGATTCTGTGGACACTCAGTTTTAGTCTCTGGACACCCAAAGCATATTGTTTTTCAAAACCCAAATACAATCAGCAATGATCCCCGATTTCATATCAGGCGGGGCCAACCCAAAACCAACCCGTTGGGACCCGCCAAATCTAATTCCACGTGTTTGCGTCAGCGATTCTCCGTACAGGTTCAGCACCACCGCATCTACGGTCATGACCACATGTACAGTCGTCATTTAATGCATTTGGAAAAAGAAAATGAAGGAAAATCTCAAGTCAAAAGCGGTCAAGCTCATGCCTTTGTTGTGAACTTGTGAGAAATGCTCTGAAACGGAAAATCAGCTTCCCAAAACCCTTCCACTGGCTGTGTCTGTGGGCTATTCGTTTCCAAGGTTCCAATGTCGACGAAGAAGCTCCACCACAACCGCCACCTTCCTGAAGAAATTATAGTCCAAATTTTGTGCCGGTTGCCGATAAAACCTCTGATTCGATTCAGTTCCGTTTCGGAACAGTGGCAATCTCTCATAATTGAGGACCCACAGTTTGCCCAATCCCACTTCAAGCTAGCCTCCGATCGCAAAACCCTCACCCAGAGACTCCTCATCTCCACCAACTATCAACTCCGATCCTTGGACCCGGAAACGCCGTCGTTCGCAGACAACGATTCTTCGCTCAGTAATATCACCTTCCACACCTATACCAACCTACTGGGCTCCTGTAATGGTTTGGTATTTGTAGATGTTGATGGTTATGAAAATCATAGCTTGTCTCTCTGGAACCCATCAACCAGATTCCAACGCGAATTGCCTGACCCATATTTTGTGTCTGTGGCGAATACAGAAAAGGTTAGATCAGAATTTGACCGTACTGGCCTGGGTTATGTGTCATCCACTGACGACTACAAAATCTTCATAGATGCTTATGTTTATTCTTCACCTTTCCAGACGTTTATGGAGATTTTCTCATCCAGATTGAACTCTTGGAAACGCATTCAAGTCTGTGGGCACGACCCACCGTGCTCTTTCAGAAGCCCCACCACCGCTAGCTTGGGGGCCCTTACAAATGAAGCACTGCATTGGTTCTACTACCCCAAAGTCGATGAGGAGGAGCCAACGATCCTTGCTTTTGATCTGGCAAAGGAGGAATTCAGGGAAGTTCCATTCCCCACTTTTGATGGTGATGCCGATGACATTGATGTTAATCAGATGGGGGTTCAAGTAGTTTCAAGAGGAGGAGGAGGAGGAGGAGAAGGAGAAGGAGAATGCCTCTGTGTTTCGCTTACTAGGAAACGTGGTAGTGTTAATTTGATGGAATTCTGGGTTATGAGAGAATATGGGGTGCGTGAATCTTGGAATGTGCTCTTTAAATTTAACACGAATGATGTATCTAAATCATTGGGTGGAAATTTGCACGGTTATGAAGCCTGTTTCGTTACTGAAGGTGGTACAGTTATATTCAGGCTGAGGTGGGATAGGGACATAGTGGTGAGGATTGAATGCCACGGAAAAGCGGAGCCGGTTTGCAGTACCCCATTTAACGTCAATGATGGGGATGGGGCAGTGTATGACGTGATTGAATACAATGAGACTCTGCTTTCAGTACCTAACTAACCATGGAGAGGACTCTGGTAATTTGGATTTTGATGCTTAATTTGGAGAGCTTATTATTGTCTGTCCTTATGTTTGTTTTGTTTCTGTCACATCTCTATACTCAGTGTTTGCTTGTATTGAGTTGCCAAAATGTTCAAATATGAAGTGTTGTTGTTGTTCCTGTCATCAATCTTGCATGAAGCAGATTTTTCTTAGTTGAATTGCTGATGCATGGTAAAAGCTTTGTATTTGAATTTGAGAACATGCCGACAGACCCCTTGTCGATTGTACATTTCTGAATTGTGATCATACAAGCTTTCTTTTCTTTTAATTGAAGGCCATTGATGATGAAAATATTCCCAATTCATGTTATGTGAGCACAGAAGAAGGTGGCAAATAAGAGAGGGTGGGAACTTTGAGTAAGGCTCAAGTTCTTCATCCTGTAGGAAAAAAAACAGAGTTTCCTTGTTCTGCAAGGGTGGGTGATGTAGGACATTTTAGGATGAAATAGAAGGTGATTGTTAATAAACAACAGCCTGGTTTGAAAATTTAGTCTGAACAAACGGCCTTGATGAAAACAAATGTTATCTGATATAGTATGGTGTGTCTGCTTGTTTCAGTATCATATGTACTCTGCTTAGTATAAATCCTTTATTTTTGTTCCATCTTAGTAGTTTTGTTTTTATTTTATTTTTCTACATTAGGGACAGCTTAAACAATGAACATTTTTAGTTGAGGTGAAAAGTGTGTTGTAACTTATGTCAAGTACAAACTGTTTGAGAAAGAAAAAGAAACATATGAATCACAATTTCATTAGGAACAAGAACAATTATAAGTGTGATCCATAATTTGCTTAAGGAAACCAAATTATTATTGGAGTAATTTAATTACGTTCCAACCTAGAAGTATAAAAGAAGGTCACACACTAGGATTTAAATAAATTTAACCGAAGATATCTCTTATAATAACCAAAGCAAAAACAGAAACCGAAGTTTAAAGGAGAATGAAAATGGCATCTCTTTAGCTCGGAAGCAGGCCAAGTTGAAATTGCAACATGAATGGCAACCTCAATGATAACAAAATGAATCATATTGATTAATAAGTAAAAAATCAGACCGAAAAACAAGATTAAGAAGTGAAAAACTGATTCTGGTTTTTGTTTTGTGGGTTTGACTTTAGGGAAAGAATAAGACTTATTAAGAAGAAATTAATTGATTCTTCTCCCCAAAAAACCAAATGCATGAACATGGAAATGATTTTGAAGCCAAGAACTAGGCTTATAAATAGGCTTGCAATAAAGGAATGGCAACCTCTTTCATAGTCATAACAAAGTCAATGTGAACACATGTTGTTGGAGTGAATACATGTTTTTTTTATATACAAGTGATATTCAACTTTAATCTAATCTAAACTACGGGGATGGGGATTCGAACTAGGGTGTAGAGTGGGGAGCATATCCGCTCTAGCCGACTTGACTAAGGCCATGCATGCAAATACATATTTTTTTAGAGAGAACGCATGTTATTATCATATTGATTAAGAAGTATAAAAGCTTATTAGGGTTTTTGTTTTGTGGGTTTGAATTTTAAGGGAAAGACCAAGAAGAATGCTGATTAAGAAGGAATTAATTGATTAGTCTTCTTCCCTAAAACCAAAAGCATGAACCTGGAAATTATTTTAATGCCAAGAATAAATGTGAAGTCACCCTATAGAAACACACCTTTACTTGAGGTGGCAGATTGGGAAAGATTGAGAGGGCAGTAACACCATAGCCTCACATCACAGGCCAGTAAATAAAAAACCAACTGCTTTGACTATTTCTGTTATGGACTTCAAATTGTATAATTTGGATTTTGATGCTTGATTTGGAGAGTTTATTATTGTCCTTGTATTTTGTTTCTGTCTCGACTCTATGTTTTGTGTTTGTTGGTATTGACTGTTGGAGTTGCCAAAAATTATCAAATATGAAGTATTGTTGTTGTTCCTGTCATCAATCTTGCATGAGGCAGATATTTCTTAGTTGAATTGCTGATGCTGAAAGCATTGTAATGTTCTTCTGCACTTAATTCAAACATCTCACAGAGACCCACCAGACAAGCAGGGCAAAAATTGTTTCAAATGGACACTTTTGAATTGCAGTCATACAAGGTTTCCTTTCTTTTGTTTTACCAGCTTTTGATCTACAATCATACCATTGCAATTGGACATCTTTGTCAATTGGAATTTGAAAAAAAAAAAAAAAAAAATTTACAAATTTCACATCTTTGTAGCAATCAATCTTCTTTTTATTTAGTTGCACATAGTGCGTGCTTCACACAAGATGTTGGCTTCACAACACTAGATGAACTGATGATGGAATATGCCTTGAGCATTTCTCAGTCCAGCATGCTTCACCACAAGATTAACTTGTTCATATTCTATGTTATGAAATTTCTCAGTCCATGAATATTATACGCACTGCATGTTTGTTAAGACATACCCTTGCACCTTAAGCAAACAGGAAAGGAACCTGTGAGATCAATTTTTTCATGCCTGCCTGTCTGTGACCAATTCTAATGATTTCATTTCACCCCATGCAGTCAAAGGAGATTGAATGCGCCTCTCATCTGGATTTGAATTTGAGAAACCCAACTTCCTCAGCAGCTGATGAGCTTGATGAACTGGTACTGCAGCAGTGCACCACACAACAACTAGCATTACTTTCTGATCTCTCAAACTGCTCCTCAAAATGAATCATTTTCAATTTAGTCCTCCTAGCTGGTCTAGAAAGAGTAGTAGTAAATCCACATGAAATCTCTGCGCATCGTTTTCCTGATATGTTAATGCTGGGGTAGCATGCTGCTATCAAATGAGCCATATTTGCTTTGCTGTTGATTGCTGCCTTTAATGACTTACGTTTTTAATCCTGCTATTCTTTAAAGTCTATGCCATTCAATTTTACATTTTCTGCTTTTTGTTTAGTTTATATGGGAGGGAGGGTGACAACAAATTATCATAAAGGAAAGATGAGATGTAGGCACGAGTGATCCTTACTTCTTGCTTTGTTGAGGTCAGAAATAATAGGAACTAACACTTTGGTAACAGCAGACTTCACTTCACTGCCAGTCACATTTAGGAACTTACCATACTACTTGGGACTGGACATAAATGCTTACTCCCTCCTAATTTTTTTGCGTTTAGGGTTTTTTATCACGTCACGAAATTATCAAGTTGTGTCCTTTATGTGTTTTTTGTCACTAACAGTTGTCAAGATTAACACTCGTGCTCACAAGGGGTCCTTGCCATGAGCTTATTTTGCTGATGTGGAGATCATATATCCAATAACACAGTGCCATGTGGACAAAAAAAAAATTAGTAGTAAAAAATAAAAATTCATTGTTTTTCAAGTAGAATTAAATATTAAAAATAAAGAAAAAAAGATTTCTTCCTCTCTCCTCCCAGCCCCCTCCCCCGACTTACCCAGCCACCTCCCACACCCCACCAACCTAGCCACCCAAGCCACTGTAGTCACCCAAACTAGCCACCCAAGCCAAGGGTTCTGTTTGGAATCCGTCTGTAAATGCTGTGATTTCATTGTAGTTAGAGTTAATTTGTTTGTGTCATCACTAGAGCATATCTCATCTACAAATTTCAAGTCTCAGCAATTGAAACTGATACTAAGCCTTTGAGATGCCCTTCTTTTGCGAACTTGTCACTTTGGCAAATATTGGTACCTTTGAAACTGATCCCCACCTGAAAATCAAAATGACAATGCATCCCATGATCGGATGCAGTAAATGGGTGTCATGATAAATGTTTTTGGGTTGGGGGTGGTGATCGTAGGTTTCTTAATGGGTGTCAAACGGACTGTTGTGGTAGGAGACAGGTAGTGACACAAAAAAACCATAAGCAACTTGATAATTTCGTGAACTTGATGGACGTTTTGTGATAATAAAAACCTTAGATATATTCATGCACAGTAATTAAAGTTCAAGGATTTTCTGTTTTTCTTTGGGACTGAATTAAATTTCAACCATTTGTTTTTTTGACTAACATATATATTATGATTTTCAACATTGAGTTTAGGCATAACAACCTCTTAGGTATTAAAAATCAAACCTTGATGAAAACTCAATTAGATTGATATTTACAAACAAAAAGAAGTTTTAAAGTTAGAGCCTTTAAACTGATAAAAAGAAAAAGTTAGAGCCTTTAAAAAACCTTTCATCTTCTATCTTCCATGTGTGCAGCTTGTTTATGCTTGCTGCCACTTTCACTATGGCTTGGCCTTGTATGATTAGACCCATTGGTCACACTACTTTCCCCAATATTATTCCCATCTCTCCTTTCTTCAATTACCTCTGCACCACCGTGACTACCACCACTACTAATTTCACCATCAACAACACTACTCTTATACGCACCATCATCACTCTCCTTTTGATCACCACCACAACTCTCGTTAACCAAAACAAGAGCCAAGTAAAGAGCTCCGTTAACTCGAAACGACCAAACTTGAACAAGATCTTTTTCTTTCAGATGGTTTCGCTTAGCAACATCAGTCCACTGAGTTCTCAACACATACATTTTGCTGCTTTTCCCATTCTTCTTTTTCATGTTCCACCGTCTCAAGTTTATATCTCCTTGTACAAGACCAGGCTCTATCAGTTGAACCTTCATTGTCTCCTCTTTCTCAAGCCTACCTCTCTCATCGTCTTCCAAGAAATCAGTCGACGAGATTTGGTTCAGAGGCATTGACATCCTGTTACCACTTTTACTTAGATCAGTTTTCCTCAGTTTTTTCTGTATCACCAAAGCCACTTTAGTCCCACCCAAACTGTCAATTTTTCTCTTAAATGCTTCAGGCAAGTCATGATGAGCTGATGAGGAAAGACTACTTAGTTCTTCTCTCTTCGGAGTGATCTTGTTGATCGAGCTGGTGCCTTTATTGGCATTTTTCTTCTTCAACATCATCATCATCCTTTGCTTCTTGCATTCAACAGGCGCCCAGTTAGTACTATCATCATCATCATCATCTCTGCTCTGGAATTTTCTTTTCAAAGAATTAGTCTTTCTCGCAGAAGCAATAGCAGAGTGCATAAGCTTTGGTCCATCAGATGATCTTTGTTTCTTTGGCTCTATTAGTGCAGGCTTCTTGAGTGCCTTTTCCTCCATCAAACGTTCTCCCTTGGACCTAGACGACACCATGGATGGGGCAACTGGGTGTGCGGCCTCAGCAATTTCAGATTCTCTCTCTGCTGCTGGACAATTTGGTTCTTTGTTGATGTTACTCTTTTGCTTCAAAAGGTATTCCTGCATATATTTCTCAGTATCAAACCTAACAATCTCAAGCAACCAACCCATATTAGTCAACTTGCGATTGAACATGCCATCAAAGTCGCTGTCACTGCTCGAATGCCACCCCATTTGATCTTCTTCTTCTTTGTGCTCGTCCACTTGAGAGATTGAAAGATTGAACGAGAATACAATGCAAGAAAGCAAATTGTGTTGTCAAAACGGCACAGAAGTTAGGATTTTATAGGGTGTGTAGACTAGTCAATGTATGATTAGGAAACCTATTCAATACATACTTGACCTTCAAGAAATAGGACACAAACAATGTTTCCCAAATATTCATATATATGAGATTTGCTATTCACGTGCTTCTCTATTTCCAAACTCGTGGATGGCTTTAGAGAGAGAGTTTGATTTCTGTGTTGCTTATTGTGAATAGCAAACTCGTATGTATCAATCAATATAGGAAACAAACTGCTTGGCCAAAAAGAAAAGGAAAGAATTGAAGCTTTGATTTACCAGTTTTTTAATTTAGTTATATTTTATATTTGTTAAAATAAATTATTATTTATTTAATTGTTTGTCCATGTGGCGCAAATCCAGTGGGTCAAAGTCATGCCACGTCATTAATTCCAAGCTCATTGACCGCCACATGGATTAATGGAGAGCTTGACAGAAATACTAACGGAGCTTGACAAAAATACTTATAGATAGTAAATTGGTAGTAAGTGTACTCAATTAATTTTAGTGTTCAATTAACGGCGCCCTTGCTTTTTATTTATTTCTTTCTACTAACCTCCATGCATCTGTGGAAAGCGGTGTGGCAAATAGTAACACAGAAACATAAAATAATTAACACCATCATAAACAGAAACAAGGAAAATTAATAAATAATAGAAAATTAATCCTTCAAATCTCCTGTTCTGATTTTCATGACAAAAAGAATGAGGCATATTAAATCATATGACAGTGACTGAGAAACAGAAAATAATTCCTTTTCCCTGATTCTACGGACACTCAATTTTAGTCTCTGGACACCCAAAGCAAATTCCTTTTCTTTTCTTTTCTTGTTTTTTATTCCAATCGGCAATGAAGACCCGCCAAATCTAATTCCACGTGTTGGCCTCAGCGATTCTCCGTACAGGTTCAGCACCACTGCATCTACGGTGTTGAGCATATGTACGGTCGTCATTTTATGAATTTGGAAACATAAAATGAAGGAAAATCTCAAGTCAAAAGGGGTCAAGCTCATGCCTTCGTTGTGAACTTGTGAGAAATGCTCTGAAAACGGAAAATCAGTTTCCCAAAACCCTTCCACTGGCTGTGGCTGTGGGCTATTCGTTTCCAAGGTTCCAATGTCGACGAACAAGCTCCACCACAACCGCTACCTCCCTGAAGAAATTATAGTCCAAATATTGTGCCGGTTGCCGATGAAACCTCTAATTCGATTCAGTTCCGTTTCGGAACGGTGGCATTATCTCATAATTGAGGACCCACAGTTTGCCCAATCCCACTTCAAGCTAGCCTCCGATCGCAAAACCCTCACTCAGAGACTCCTCATTTCCACCGACTATCAAATCCGATCCTTGGACCCCGAAACGCCGTCGTTCGCAGACAACAATTCTTCGCTCAATAATCTCACCTTCGCCCACTTTAGCAACCTAGTGGGCTGCTGTAATGGTTTGGTATGTGTAGATGTTGATGGTTATGAAAAACATGACTTGTCTCTCTGGAACCCATCAACCGGATTCAAACGCAAATTGCCCGACTCAGATTTTGCATGTGCAGTGAAAAACGTGTCTCGTTTCGCTGAATCTGATATTGGCCGTTCTGGCCTGGGTTATGTGTCATCCACTGACGACTACAAAATCTTCATAGATGCTGATGTTTATTCTAAACCTCGCCAGACGTTTATGGAGATTTACTCATCCAGATTGAACTCTTGGAAACCCATTCAAGTCCGTGAGCACGACCCACCGTGCTCTTTCAGAAGCCCCACCACCAATAGCATGGGGGCCCTTTTAAATGAAGCACTGCATTGGTTCTACCGCAAAGTCGGTGAGGAGGAGCCAACGATCCTTGCTTTTGATCTGGCAAAGGAGGAGTTCAGGGAAGTTCCATTCCCCACTTTTGATGGTGATGCCGATGATGTTGATGTTCATGACATGGGGGTTCAAGTAGTTTCAAGAGGAGGAGGAGAATGCCTCTGTGTTTCGATTGCTAGGAGACGTGGTGGTGTTAATTTCATGGAATTCTGGGTTATGAGAGAATATGGGGTGCGTGAATCTTGGACTATGCTCTTCAAATTTAACACGGATCATGTATCTGAATCGGTGGGTGGGAATTTGCATGGTTATGAAGCCATTTTCGTTACCGAAGGTGGTACAGTTGTATTCAGGTTGAGGTTTAGGGACAGGTTGGTAAGGATTGAATGCCGCAGAGAAGCAGAGCCGGTTTGCAGTACCCCATTTAACGTTAATGATGGGGATGGACCTGTGTACAACGTGATTGCATACAATGAAACTCTGTTTTCGGTACCTAAACTCGGGTAATTTGGATTTTGATGCCTAAACTCTGGTAATGGGGATGGAGCAGTTATATTATTGTCTGTCCTTCTGTTTGTTTTGTTTCTGTCACGTGGATGTTTTGTGTTTGTTGTATTGACTTAAGTTGCCAAAAGGATCAAATATGAAGTATTGTTGTTGTTCCTGTCATCAATCTTGCATGAAGCAGATTTTTGTAAGTTGAATTGCTGATGGATGGTAAAAACATTGTGATATTCCTCTGATGTTTCAAATGTCCGTGCCTTCATGTATTTGAATTTGAGAACATGACAACAAACCTCTTGTCCATTGTAGACTTCTGAATTTCGATCATACAAGCGTTCTTTTCATTTAATTGAAGACCATAGATGATGAAAACATTCCCAATTTATGTAATGTGAGCACAGAAGAAGGTGGCAAATAAGAGAGAGTGGGAACTTTGAGTAAGGCTCAAGTTCTTCATCCTGTCGGAAAAAACAGAGTTGCCTTGTTCTGCAAGGGTGGTGGATGGAGGACATATTAGGATGAAATAAAAGGGGATTGTGTAAATAAACAACAGCCTGGTTTGAAAATTTAGTCTGAACAAATGGCCTTCATGAAAACAAATGTTATCTGATATGGTATGGTGTGTTTGCTTGTTTCAGTATCATTTGTACTCTAGTTAGTATAAATTCTTTATTTTTGTTCCGTCTTAGTAGTTTTCGTATGATATTTTTCCACATTAGGAAACAACAAACATATTTACCTTGCCAACCTAACTATTATTGGAGTAGAATACATCTTCTTATCATATTGATTAAGAAGTAAAAAAGCTGATTCTGGTTTTTGTTTTGTGGGTTTGAATTTTAAGGCAAAGAAGAATGCGTATTAAGAAGAAATTAATTGTATTTTGTTTCGGTCTTGTCTCTCTGTGTTGTGTGTGTTGTGTTATTGAAAAATTATCAAATATGAAGCATTGTTGTTGTTCCAACTTCCTTATATATTATTCTTGCAGGTTGCATGAAATGAATGAAGCTGATGTTTCTTAGTTGAATTGCTGATGCTGAGCTGCTGAGCTGCTGTCTGTCTTTGGCTTAGCTTTACTTACCCAGTCAAGAGTGGTTTGTTTGTAGGCTTGTGTTTTGTTTCTCCTTCATGGATTTGGATTTGAATTTGAATTTGAATTTGAGAACATGCCAACCCCAACCCCAACCCCATGTCAATTGGACACTTTTGATTTACAATCATACCAGCTTTCTTTTGTTTTAACTTTCAATTGAAGGCTTGGTGTTTGCAAATATGACAGTGGGAACTTTGAATAAGGCTCAAGTTGTTCTACTTGTAGGAAAAACCAGACTTGTGCAAAGGCTGGTGGATGGAGGAGGACATATTTGGATAAAATAGAATGTGATTGTTTTAGGAAGACTCTTTTCATCTGTTGTGGTATGGATGGAGTTGAAAACTTGAAATTTGTGTGTCGTTCGAAATCAACATGCGACGTGAGTTTGGTGTGGGTTCTGCTGCCCAATTTATTTTCTGTCCTCATGGGCATGGGCCAACTTTTTAAAATCATCCATGAGTTAGTTGAAATTGGGCTTGGAAACACGCACCCCTTTTGTATTGTTTGGCACCAACCCAAGCCGAAGTTGAAATTGTAAGGGAAACTATATCTTGTGCATTTCATCCGTGAGTTTGGTGTGGATTTGAATATAGATCATCAATTGGGCAAAAGTTGAATTAGTCTTTAGGCTAAGCCTCTTTCTACTTAATTCATCGTTGATTTTGAAGAAAGAAGAGGAGATGGTTTTGCTTAGTTTACAAACTAATCAAGTGGCACATGGGGTAACCCTAAACTTTAGGGCAGGATAGGGGACATTGAGTGCCTAGTAATACAAGAACATCACTCATTTCGTTCAAGAAACTCTTACTTTCAAAGTACATGATCAAATTCCCATTCTTATATTAATTTCGTACTGCATTGTAACATGCAGTACGGAGCATGTTATATGTTTTTCAATTAGGCACTTCTTTAATTAAATGCCGCCTGTATAAAGTCACAGGGATTGACCAATTACATGTCGACAGAGAGGCATATGCATATATCTCATCTCACAATCATATATACCTACATTTGATTTTCTTGGTCCGAAACCGTTAATAAGTTGTTGAGAAATTCAATCAATCATGACTGCCGATTTCTTTTTAATTACCACAAGCACAACAAAGAGAGTGAGTATGTTTTTGGTCCACACAAATATGTCACTGTTCGACTATTCATTTGGGTCGGGCGTTGAGAGTCCATTCAACATTGAAAAGAGAAATACCACTAAACGAGGATGTTATGATAACAAAACAATAAGGAAAATAACAGTAAGACTTACGCAGCGCAATAATTCAATATCGTCCTCAGCTCTCAATACTAAGATCCGAAATATGTAGTTAACATGCATGTTGCATCATCCGTGAAGTATTTAAAAGAAATTATAATATTATCATTTGCACACAATTCTACGTAAAGCCAACATGGTATATCTTGTGTTGCAATCTTACTCATCATGCATTTACACACATCTTGCCTGCCATCTTTTATATGTCAAACAAGCCAGCCTATCTATCTACCCCCCACATCTTCCTTCTCCTACCCGCATAAAAGAGAAATAATCCCTCAAGATATGACCCTCAAAACCCAAAACACAATCATTTCAAAGCTCATCAAACATGGCCATGAAACCAAGCCTACTTCTCTCCATACTCATTTTCTCTTTCATCTTCCAAACAGCTCTCTCAAGAAGCCATCACCACTCTAGCCGTATACGTACGTGGTGCCAGAAAACCCCCCACCCCGAGCCATGCAACTACTGCATGTCACATAGCCGTCACCGTCTCGTGCCGAAACACACCTCCGAATTTCGAAAAATGATGGTGCAAGTGGCCTTGGAGAGGGCTCTCGATGCAAAATCATACGCCTCCCAATTTGGCCAAAACTGTCAAAACAATCAACAAAAAGCCGCATGGGCCGATTGCTTGAAACTTTTCGAGGACACCGTCCACCAGCTCAACATTACCCTTGAAGGCTTAGGCACCAAACGCAATTGCTCCAACTTTGATGCACAGACTTGGCTCAGCGCTGCCCTCACCAACATTCACACGTGCCAAGTTGGGTCTATGGAGCTGAACGTTTCGGATTTCATAGCCCCTATATACACCTCCAATAACAATGTGTCTGAGCTAATTAGCAACGGTTTGGCAATTGGTTCACAACTTTTAGGCACGGAAGAAAATTACGCAGATGAAGAGTATCCGAATTGGGTTTCGAAGCACGAGCGGAGGCTGTTGCAAGCTTCAAAAATCAAGGCAAATCTTGTGGTTGCCAAAGATGGATCGGGGCATTTTCGGACGGTTCAAGCGGCCATAGATGCAGCGGCTAAGAGGAAAATTACTAGTAGGTTTATTATCCATGTGAAGAAAGGTGTTTATAGAGAGAACATTGAAGTTAGCAACACTAATAATAACATCATGCTGATTGGTGCTAGCATGAGATATACAATAATCACAGCTAGCCGAAGTGTCAATGGAGGTTCCACAACCTATAATTCCGCAACTGCTGGTACATATACATAAGTTCTCTCCATCTCTAATTGTTTCTAATTTGATTTAATTTCCAAAGCTTGAGTAATTAACGTTTTCTTTTGTGGTTGGTTACAAAATGTGATTATTATAGGCATAGACGGTCCAGGCTTCATTGCTCGCGGCATCACATTTAGCAACACGGCCGGCCCACTAAGGGGCCAAGCAGTGGCGCTGCGGTCGGCCTCAGACCTCTCGGTCTTCTACCGGTGTGCTTTCCAAGGCTACCAAGACACCCTCATGGTGCACTCTCAGCGCCAATTCTACAGAGAATGTTACATATATGGCACCATAGACTTCATCTTTGGCAACGCAGCTGCGGTTTTCCAAAGTTGCATTATTTATGTGAGAAGGCCCTTGAAGGGCCAAGTCAACGTCATCACAGCCCAAGCCCGAAACGACCCATATCAAAACACTGCAATTTCAATCCATAATTCTCAAGTTCGGGCCGCTGCAGATCTCAAGCCCGTGATCAGTGCTTTCAAAACCTACTTGGGCCGGCCCTGGATGCAATACGCTAGGGTTGTTTTCATGAAATGTTATCTGGACAGCTTGGTCAACCCAGTGGGCTGGTTGGAGTGGCAAAGAAGTAATTTTGCGCTTAGCACTTTGTATTATGCGGAGTATAAGAATTTTGGTCCTGCTTCGTCTACCAGGTACAGAGTGAAGTGGCCTGGTTTTCATGTCATCACCAGTGCAAATGTGGCGTCAAAGTTCACCGTCAGCAGCCTTATCGCTGGTCGGTCCTGGTTGCCAGCCACCGGGGTTCCATACACAGTGGGGTTATGATCAGGACCTGTATGTTATGATTGTGAATTGATTGTATTTTATTTGTTTATTTGGGAGAAGAAAAAATATTTATTTATTTACGCCTAGTGGATGTTGTTGGTGTTGGGTGTGTACATTATACTGACAATATATGGTACATTTTCACAAGGAATGAATATGATTAATTATTTCTTAATAATGTAGTTAAGGAAAATTTAGGAGCAGAAGGGAACTTAATTTTCCACTTTACTTTACATATATAATTTGGATTACATGTTAATAACTATGTATTAGACCAACCTCATAATTGGCTCTTACAATTAAGCCAGAATTCATGTGAACCTTAATATATTTATTCATTCATAGTTGATTTGCATGCCGAAATTTTAGACTAGACAAGATAGTTAATTAAGAACAAATAGCTTGATTTATAGTCATACCGATTAAATTAATTTGTAAGCAGGGTGAGGTTGTAGCAAAGGGCAATTTTCTCCACCCAAACCGCTAGCGGACATAGTCAACAACTAACTACACCCAATAATTATTCATAACTTGTAAACACTAAGAAGAAGAATAGAGTGGAGTAAATATCCCGTTATAATCTCGGTTGTTAGATTGCATTCATTAGATGTGTA